ATCAAGTACCAGATTCCGGGACATGAAAGAGGTTGGGGTGGTAATTAGGACCTTGTGGTTAGCAAAACCAATGGACTGAGACATCCAGGTTGGCCGCCTTTACCATGGGTAAAGAGGTTTGATCGAGGGGCGTACTCGGCGAGATAGAGACAACAGCAGATTCGACGTTAACAGCGACAGTCAGCCCATTGAGTCGGGTTGAAGAGCAACAAATATTCAAGTACACAAGAACTGTACTTTCACACACCGATTTTACAATCTAGTATTTAGAAGACAGAATTCTCTACAAAATTGGAAATATTTGAATGCATGCATATGCTGTTCAGATTACAAAAATTCTCTTGGGCAATTCCAGGACATCGTGAAACATGTGATATAGAAGCATCTCAAACAACAGTACACCTCCAAAGTATATTAGTATAACTGACTACAATAGAAGAAACATGACTAATTTGGGCAGACAAAGAAAGACTATGAGACACTGGACTGATAATAGATGAGCACAAAACGAAACGCAAGAGATCAACCAACTGCTATGGATTGACCCACAGACATGGATGATACACCCCCGCTTGTTCAGATAAGATGGTTTCGGAACGGCCCGTTCCTGGGAATTCGACCCAACTCCGATCATGCCTCGCCAGAATCCGACCATCCTCTTGCACAGGGACTCGAATACTTGGCATCTACGAACATGGTCCAGCCAATGATTGCTTATTAATGACGCCCAACTTTTCAGGATTAGCTGTTGGCTGACCCAAAGTGGCAACCCGACTGGAATTTGTTTACGAGCTTTGACACCCACTGAGAAAAACTATGACACATAGGACTTCGAGTTATTGGCCACCATATTCTCGGGGTCTATACACTGTAGCCAAGGGCTTGACTAGGTAAGGAGACCATGATGATGACCCAGTGACAGGACCAGGGTACAGTGCATATTGGTATGAGCCTAGCGCTTGGAGGATAAGCTACGGGAGGGAGAGTTTATACATACGGACTAGAGAAATGGTTTAATTTGTTGCAAGCATTGCAAGGAATCCGCATCCTGACAGACCACAAGAAATTGAGAAACGATTGAAGATGATTACCACCAACAGGCGACGGAACAGACAGGTACTATTTCTGGGCTGGGTTAGAACAAGGATTATGCGTCATATGGAGCTAGACAGCTATTCTTCGGCGTTGTGTGGGAAAGTACGTAACTATGTGCGCAGAGCCCCTTGCTTCTCTTTTCCCTTCACCATAACTGAAAAACCAGGTAAGCGGCGCGGTGAACCAAGGTGGAGAAAGGTGGAGCAGAGCTTCAACACGAGTGAATGTGGCCCTGATGTGACTGAGCGCCATATGGTATCGGCCTAGTATAGTACTGCTCACTCCTAATCTGTATACCGATAACACAACGGCCAAGCCTCCGTATCAAACACCTTCCTCGGCGCCACGGGTACACTCTGAACATCGAAGGGCATCTGATGATCTGCGTGCGCGTCAAGGTCGTAGCGTAGGTCGGTCATATTGTGCGGCGTTAGGGGCATACCGGAGAAGGCGGCAAAGTTTATTGGGTGGTAGTGCTGCCACTGTAAGACTCATATCAGTAACGTTGTATCGCTGCAGACATATTGAGAAGGTAGCATGGAGTTCTTTAGCGCACCTCACTCCACAGCCGGTCAAGTTGCGCATGATGCAGCCAAAAGAGCGGGTCATTGGGCGTGAAGCTGTCTGCCATGCCCTGGCAGTCCTTGTCCAGCAGGGGCTTCGGGCAGTCACCCGCCAAATCTCCCCCAACGAAATTGTGTACGTGGTCATGCATTTGTGCCATTACGCGCTGGAAGCCAAAGAAGTCACCTGTGGTTTGCTCCGTCAAGTTCCGCACGAATTCCGGGCCAAGAGTAATGTTCTGAGGCCGTTCATTTGGGTACCAGCCGGTTACGAGCGTCAGGTTCCTCCGAAGCGGGTGTGGGATTGGCCAGGCAAGCTCGAAGTCTCCTGCGGACGAGGCAAAGGCACCGGTGATGACGGTACAGTCCGCCTCGAAGGATGAATCGCAGTCTCCCGTTCCACCCAGCCCGTACTCCACCGAGTCCTCGAATACTGGCGACCCGAACAAGTCTGCGTGATCCCGCGACCAATCCCAGTATGGTGTTGGCCCACTGTAGCCACACGTCTGGCGGAGGGAGGTGTCGAATAGGTAGGTGAACCAGCGGTCTGCGCTCATGTAAGGATGCGTTGGGGGAAGGCAAGGAGAGACGGAACACACGCCACGGCAAAAAGTAAGCATTCCTGTGAACACTGTGCTCCACAGATGCGTGCGCGTAAGAGAAGTCGTCGTACAGGCTTCTGTTTCCCTCAAGTACCGTCTGGTCCTTCGTCAAGGATAACCGTTCGTGTCGTACGCTTGCCAAGCACTACTCGGCATAAGCAACGTACGCGTTACCTACGGGGAGGAAGAAGGGCGCACCTTGACAGCTCCCACCCACTCGGCTTTCTCACTATGCGTCAGTGTCCGCCATTCTTTGCGCGTCAGAAGCTTGCTGCACTTCTGTGGTTGTCCGTTGTTCCATCCGTACGCATATGAGAGGCCGGCGTTGGGGGGGAAGGAGAGGACGGCGAGTACGCAAAGGAACAACATCAAACAGCCCATGGTTATCATTAAAGCAGAAAGAGATGAGAGCAGGTCGTGGTAGTCAGAGTATTGAATGAAAGCCTAAATAAATAGTCAGCTTCCTGTGCATCGATGGAAGAAGGCGCCCAGTCAGCATACCATTGATGCAGAGCGGACACCACCGCCCTTTAGATTGACCCGTAAGGGGCTCGAGCCTGTTTTTCTGGTTGCTTGAAAGGAAACATCTCCAATATCACGAAATGGCCCCTAAGATGTCCTAGCGCTAAAGTGTCTTACTGTATCGTCCGCCCGTGGTGCCTTTCCCACCCCTCCGCGCTCTTCTTATACTACTAACAGCAGGAACCAACCCTCCTCACCCTGTCCGACTTGAAGCCACAAGCACAATGTTACGCACCTCTATCTCGCTCCCGCGCTTCCCTGCTCTTCTCCTCTGCGTTGCCCTCCCCCTCTATCTCGCCATTCGTGGCTCCGCCTCGTTTTCCGACATCGCACTTCTCCTCTCCTCCCTCTCCGAGCGAGCCGAAGCCCTTCACGTCAAGCTCACCTCCCCGCTTGCTACGCCTCCAGCACCAATCTCCAAAAAATCTCTCGATCCTCCCGGCGAGCCCGCCAAAACCGTGCGCGAGCCCGAAGACGAGAGAAGGAAGAGATATCGGCACCTTCCAGATGGACTGGCGCACTGTATCAACTCCTTCGAGCAGTATTCGTTCCTTGCCGAGCAAGGGCTCCAGCGGAAACATGCACGGTATTCCAAGCAGAACCTCGCCCAGAAGGCAATAACCAACGAGCTCGGCTATCCTGCACACTTTGAGAAAGCTAGGAAGGGGATTGAGGTGAACGCCCAGTTCTCGGAAAAGATCGCGTTGGTTGGGAGGGAGGACTACCACACCGGCCCGCAAGCACTAGAAGACAGAGAAGACGCAGAATTCGGACTTGTAGATCTGGCGTTTGGCCATCTTTTGCGGGACTGGAGCCTGCAGGGCGCAGAGGAGAGGAAGGCCGTGTTTCCCCCTATTCTGGGCAGGCTTGAGCGACATTTTGGTGGGAACGGAATGGGTAAGAAGGTGCTTGTGCCCGGAAGCGGTATGGGTAGGCTGGCAAGCGATATCGCTGATCTCGGTGCGTCCATCCTACTTCATTGAGTTGTAGCCATGGCCTCACATAGGCGCAGGTTACGACGTCACGGCCAACGAGCTCGACTACGGGTCCATCCTGGCCTATCACTTACTAACAAACCACACAAACTCGCTGCACCAGCACACCCTGCAGCCATTCGTGACCAAATGGGCTCATCAGGCCAACCCCTCCTCGCGCTACTCCGCCTCGACTGTGCCGGACCACTGGCCCAACAAGGCTGTCAAGCTCGTCGAGGGTGACTTCTTGGAGATGTTCCCCCGGGATGATGAGTTCGACTCCGTCGTTACGCTGTTCTTCATCGACATGTCCGATAACGTGATTGACTTCCTGAGCAACATACATCGGCTGCTAAAACCTGGTGGGGTGTGGATCAACCTCGGTCGTACGTTACTGCCATCCCTTAAACACTGACATTTATGCTTTTCTTGTACTTCCGTTTACCGCTGGACCTGGGCTGACGTGTTTACAGCGCTTAAATGGGGCTCCTATAGCGCCATCCAGCTCTCCGCAGAGGAAGTGCTTGATCTAGCAGTTCTGCTCGGGTTCGATGTGGACCATACTTCAAGGAAGAGCATTGACAGCTTGTATGCCGAGCAGCCGGAAACGTTGCTAAAGTTTACCTATGGTGAGTGCCTACCGTTTTCTTGGGATGAGTGAGAGCGGTTGCTGATGCGACGGGCAGTTACGCAGTTCTGGTCTGCGACGAAGAGGGGGTAAACCAGGGGGTTGTGTTGTTTTTGCTTCCACGCTTTAACATAGATACCTAGAACTAACAGCACCTAGATAAATTGCTGACTGCGGGTGCTAAGAGTCAGTGCAAAGATGCCATAGCTAAGTGCTAGTTAGTGGCAGTATAAAAAATAGCCCTTTCTCAGGTCCTTGCATAAGTATCTGTGTAATCGGGCGTAAAGGGGGGGTGTTAGGTATATCGGCCAGGTCGAGCCCCAAACCACCCATTGGCCAACGTACTGGTGTAGCAGTCATTGTGGAATTCTACTATTACAAAAATAGTCTCCCACCCCCCAACACAGCGACGGTGGCGTCAACTCGGGCCAGTAGACTACCGTTGGGATCAGGGCCGACTAGCCGGGAAACAAGGGGCAATTTGCAAGTCTCACGGGCGCCGACAAGTCTGGATGCGTTACTTGGTGGTATGATTACTCGCCAGAATGACACCGGGATATGGAGAATATCATGACCACTACGCCATAACATCAAATAAGGAAGTCATACATAGTAGCCTAGTCTCTTTAGACTACGGTTACCACGCAAACAGGGGTAAGGTAACCGTATTTGTCCAATAGCCTTGAAGTCGGGTTACCCTTGGCTTGTTGTGATTTCGATCATCCCATGTTTCATATCACAAGAAGCTCCTCAAGTGATTGCCCCATTAAGCAAGTGTAAAGAGGACTATCCGTGTGTGCTTTAAGCACTCCATCGAGATATGTTTGACCCACCAATTTAAACTTTTCTGACACCCCTCGAAGCACAAGCGGTTGCAATGTTGAGGTTGCCACAACCACCAGATCCCCATCCCTTGTTTCTGGGTCACCAATAGCAAAGGCATGGCCCCAAGAGTCCTTTACCTGTAGCACGGGCTTTCCGTAATTCACTGGGAGATGATGTCTTAACATATCCCAGCATAGTCTCTGTCTCGTGTCCTGTTCAGGCTCAAACCCACGAGCGACCTGGTGTAGAGCTGCTATAATTTCTTCCGTCTTAAAGTCTCCGTATCGGTAGGTGTCAAATATGCAAGCCTTGATGAACCTGCTGTAGACAGATCCGGGTGCCCAGCATTCTCCCCACAGCACATGGTCTTCGTCGGAAATAATGTTGATTATCTGTGAAGCTACCGTCTTCGAATCATACCCCAATGTGCATACGACTGTAGAGTATCCTGCCTTACGCACCCATAGATGCAAGGTGGATAGATCCTGTGACACGCGCGGCAGACAGCCCTTGACCGGGTCCCAAAGGGCTTCGTTAATCTCCCAAGGTATTGCCTGTGAGTGTAGCATACGATAGGATAACTTCGTGTAGTCAGGAAGCCATGACGGCAGGCTCCCCGTCAGATGATTATCCCGAAGAGACAGGTAATGGTACATGGTACCCACGCGCTCGTGATTGACAAGGTACTCGGTTATCTCCAGGAAGACCTGCTCAACTGGCTTCCTGTAGTCCGGCGGGTACACCTTGTGGACCTGGGGGGAGAAACTATAGCAACCATATATTTTATCGCGGGGATCGGAACATTGCCGGTGGTTGGTCAAAACAAGGCTCCAGGAGAACGGAACCCGTGTGAGATCCTGTCGCTGGTAATCTTGAGGTGATGATAAAATACCGCGGATATCATCATCACTACCATTAATACTCGTAGTGGTCTCCTGGACCTGCTGGGAATGCGCCCTAGTCTTTTTATCTAGCCCTGTTGATGGGACGTTCCTCTGTCTTATCTCGTCCGCGACGGCATGCAGTCGCCTGGTTCTCGCGGGATCAATGAGCGACATTTCAAAAGCGACATTACCGCAGATGCAGATCGGATCTTCCGTCGCCAGTTGGTATTCCTGGTATGTCCACATCCGGTTCCAGTACGGCAGCTTCACTAAGTCCAGAATGCCACTGCTCGCACGTACAAGAGAAACCTCCATTTTCCGACGGGCTCGCTTAGAAAAGCGACTTGTAATGTCAAGCTTCCACCAGTACATTGTCTGCCGATCGATTTTCTTACCAACATATCTCTTGGCCCAGGTCACTCCTAATTGCAACAAATCCAAAGAAACAGGCTGGCCCTTGTACTCTAATGACTCATCGGCCAGGAATGCGATAACCTTCCAGGCTCGGCGATATATGTCCCCCATCATGGCGACTTGGGTGTTCTTCTCATCCGTGTCTGTCTGATTGATGCAGATGTAGTCGACCCAGACGGTACGTGGCTGGTGAGGCTGACGTAGCATGCGTAATGCCGCGAAGAGGTTGTGTGTGACGGGAAATTGATGTCCCTCTACCAAGACACTTTCCGTCGCATTAGGATCTCCCCAAACGTAAGAGAGTGCGTCGTATTTAGGTTGCTGCTCTTGCAGAGACACGGATTGTATGGTACATCTAACCTTAGCGTCGGTGTTCGTGTCGGAAATGATACTTAACAGACGAATCTGCCTTCGGGCGACGTCAAGCTCAGTATATGGAAACGCCATTTTTCCTCCGTATTCCGTGTACTACTCCGAGAACCTTGTGGGAGATGGGAGAGTAAGAGAAACGAGCAGAAGCAAAGGGCTTATAATAAAAGCGGCTGAGCCGTCAATGTCTAAGCGCTGCTGACCCTCGTGATCTCTTTTTCACCACGTTAGACATTTTAGACCACCAGTAGAGTGCCCCAATTCCAGCCTCAAAAGGGGCGCTTCGTTATCTAAAATGGTAGTTCTCAGCCACTGCACCAAATTGCCGATCGATCAGTTAGGCAATCTTGGCATTCACAGCCTCGTAAAAGTCTCACTCATCTATCTTTGGATGGCCAACCACTTCCGGTTTTCATGAGAGATGCTCTCTGGGTCTTAGGACTACTACATGTCTTGAACAGATTCCATGATAGAAGCGATGCTAGTAATACGCAATCACAGAACCATAGTGAGCACTGATAACATACCGTCATATAACAAGACTGGGCTTCCGCACCAGTAACAGCGCAAGAATCAGATCACTTTATCTTCTTTGATGATTGAGGGAATATATACAATCTATGTCAGCGAAAAACACTGGATAGCCTTCCTACTGATAAGCCCTGGAAACATGGTCGGCAAGCCGGATCGGTCATGCATAACGGAGGGCAACCGGGATCAGCACGGCTTATCAACCACCAGAACAGCAGGTGGTGAGCTTTGATAAACACCGGAATTGATAGGTCATATCCTTGATCACGGATACCCCGAATATCCGGGTGGGAATTTCCAAGTGGCAGTCTCGCGATGGCGCACCAATCCCCACCAAATTGTTGTATTGGTCGTTTTGACATGCGAGAGGACAACCATTATATAGCACTTCTTCTCCGCTATTGGGGTTGGTTTCCATATTCTGCTCCTCTGTCTTGGACTAATTTGACACGAACCTTCGTATGCAGCCGGGAACTTGAGACTCTCGTATAGTCAGTTCAGCAAGGCAAAAATTCAAGCACCAAGGGTTTATCTATTGTGGGGCCCATTCTCCACCGTGACAGGTCCAAGTGGGCCAAGGGACTGATAAGAAACCAAGTCAAGATAACAAAGGCATGGGTGAGACAAAGCGGTGCGGTTTTGGTAAGATCGTCGCTCTCTTGTCCAGCCGTGTTTGCTATCCTTTGATCCGTCGAGGACGCCCTGGATGCGACGATATTCGTGCATCTGTTATTACCTCGGATCCTGGGACACACACGGCCCGGTGAGCCCTAAACCGCTCTGGCCAACTCTTTGATCTCACGGGTCAAGCCCTGGTCGCAGGATCGCCGCTCGAACCAATGACTGTCATCAAGGACAACAGAGACCACGGACTGGTAGAGATCCTGGTTCCTTCGTCCCATGTTCGGGCCTAGAGGTACCTCTCATACCATTTGTCCTGGTCAACCATAATATCGAGATAATGTGTTCGAACCGTGACCACCCGATCGGTGACATCGGCCCAGAGTGGGTCGGTCCTCTCCCACGCGGCGATCGGCTCTTACCAAACATGAGCGATTAAACGGAAAACGAATTCTTTGTCGTCACTGCGGAATACAGGGCGGCAAATTCACCAGATCAGGCGATTCAGGCCCTCAACCCCAAGAGCGGTTTTTGGCAGAAGCGAGATGGGGGGCCCCCGTGTCAGGAAATGTTGGCGACGATAATATATCCCCAGCACTGGGTCTGCCGGAGACCAATCCCATCGCGCGGTCTTCCGGCACCCCAATCTCCGCCAAGCCGCTATCGGCGCCAGCCTCATCCGCAGCCGATGCTGATTGGGGTCGCTTAGACTACGAGCCCGAAAAGGGGCAAAACATGACGTGGGAATGCTGGTTCCCTGTCTGGGGTGGCTTCACGAGCCGGTCTTGACTCTTCTTGGCTGGCTCTGACCACCATCTGGGGTTTTGTCATCGATACTACGGTAGTTTTGAGGCCCGAGGACGATGGACCACCGAAAGGGCCCGGATTGCATGCATCGTGATTCCACTCGGTGTTGTCCGTTGATCGTACCACTTTGGAATCCTAGTCGGTGGCGGGTGGGGAAAAATTCGCGCAGTCTGGGGTTAGTCCTCCACTTGCCCAGGGTCCAATCGTCAGTCAGCCATTGGGGGCGCGGTGGGGACCCACATTTTAGTGTTAAATGGAGGGGGCAAAACAACGTTGCCTGCGTGGCCATTGCAGACCACGATAGTTATCGCAGTCTGATTATTTACCCCAGGGCATTGGTGGTGTCTGGTCGTTCCACACGCACCAAGTGGATAACTCTGCTAGGCAAACGGGTGTCGGGTGGAGAAATGGACCCGAATCCCACGCTGACCGCTGGAAAAAAGCGAAGCCACGCAGGGGCTGAACCAGAAAAAGCACCCCAGGATGCAGGGGATGGGGAGAGTACCAGAGAATGCAGGGGTGCTGTCGAACGCATGGAAGAGACGAAGAATCCACGATGGTCCTCCAGTTCACGCGGCATCCTTCGCGTTCGGATCCTGTACAAGGCCCAGCGGTTGACGGAGTTGACAGGGGCCTAAGGGACCGACCAACTCAAGAAAGATCGACCGACCGGGTTTGGTTGCACTGCGTCTGGTGACCGGCCCGGTGGGGATTCCCAAATCGACGGTCGTGGATACTTAAGAGGATCAGCACCCACCTCTCCCCCGCAGATTGTCAGGATGTCACTGTGAATACACCATTGTTTCTTCTCTTCTCCCTCCTTCCTCCTTACCCTGCCTCTGCCAACATGTCAGAAAAGAAAGAGCACGGGACGTTAGGTCCCATGGACCCCAAGTACGGCGAGATGGCGGACGCGCCGGGGTATTCCCACGATGCCGTCTTTGGAGAAATGGGCGAGGACGGTCCTAACTATCGGAGTGTAAGGCTCACGGATCGCGTGCACGCCTCGATGTCGCTAACAAGAGTCTACTTAGGTCGGATGGATGGGCTCGGCCGTGCTCATGATGAAATCCCAGATCGGTATTGGGGTCCTATCGATACCAGTCGCCTTCGATGCTCTGGGAATTGTGCCAGGAGTGATTTGCTTGTTGGCCATCGGCGGCATCACCACGTGGTCGGACTACATCATCGGCGTCTTCAAGCTGCGGCATCCCGAGGTCTATGGTATTGATGATGTGGGACACTTGCTTTTTGGGAAGACAGGACGGATCGTGTTGGGCGCCGCATTCTGCCTCTGTGAGTGGGACAGGGGGAGGGAATCCACACCCAACCATGTGCTGACTGCTGCCAACTAGGGTGGACTTTTGTCGCTGGCTCCGGCATGCTGGGTCTCTCCATCGGTTTGAATACCGTCTCGAGCCACGCTACCTGTACGGCAGTGTGGGTGGCGATTGCCGCGATCTTGGGATTCTTGTTTGGCAGTATCCAGACCCTCGGGCGCATTTCCTGGCTGGCGTGGCTGGGTCTGTTCTCTATTCTGGCCTCCAGTCAGTGCTCCTAATCTCACTCCCTTTCGATCCACATTAACAAACTTAGTCCTCATCGTCACCATCGCAGTCGGCGTCCAGGACCGCCCGGCGTTGGCTCCTCAGGACGGCGTCTGGGTCTCCGATTACAAGATTGTCAACAGCGAAGCGACTTTCACCCAAGCCATCACGGCCCTCACCACCATCGTCTTTGCCTACGCTGGTACCCCGGCCTTCTTCTCCATCGCGTCCGAGATGCGGGACCCGACCCACTACAACCGCGCCCTGATCTTGTGCCAGGCCGTCGTGACGGCCTTCTACCTGATCATCGGCATCGTCATGTATTATTTCTGCGGCTCGTACGTCGCGTCGCCCGCGCTAGGTTCGGGCGGTGCCACGATCAAGGTCGTCAGTTACGGATTCGCTCTGCCGGGTCTGTTGGCGAGCACCCTACTCTTTGTCCACGTAAGTTTTCCTTCGCCTTGGAAGCTCCTCACGGCGATCAGTGCTAATAGGGACGGGTGCAGATTACGGGCAAGTACATTTTCGTCCGTATCCTCAGCGGCACGCGCCACCTGGCCGCCAACACGGTCGTCCATTGGGTGGTGTGGATTGGCTGCACGGGCGGCGTGGCCCTTGTCGCCTATATCATCGCCAGCGCGATCCCCGTGTTCAGCGACCTGGTATCCCTGGTCGGCGCACTTCTCGGCACCCCGATGTGTTTCCAGCCCATGGCGGGCATGTGGCTCTATGATAACTGGCATACACCGGGGCCCAAGTCGATGGGGTGGAAGCTGATGGTCGCTTGGTGTGTCTTCGTCATCGTGTCGGGGACGTTCCTAATGATCGGGGGAACCTACGGATCGATCATCACGATCATGGAGAGTTATGCCAAGTCCGGCGGATCGGCTGCGTGGTCGTGCGCGGACAATTCGTAGATGTCTCTCTGCTATCCCTGTACCAGACGCCAGGCCACGGGGGCGGATTGATCGCGACCCTGCGGCGGCGGTTTGATTTTGTATAGATTTGATCTCAACTAGTTCCAATGATACCTTTATGTTCGAATGTATGGTTTATGTGAGGAAACTGAGAGTGTAAATGTTGGGTAAATGGGGGCGTGGTGACCTCTATAAAGCAACGCACTAACCTCCAGGTTAAGAAAACTTCATTATATATAGATGCAGTTGCAATGACCAAAATTAACTAGCCATCAAGATACAATTTCCCTCCTTGCTTCATATTGTTGATTTTTCACTGTAACATTGTTCACAGTCATCATAATCACCACTTTTCTCATCAAAACCTCGAATTTGGTTGGTTGTGTTACCCAGGCCAGTAATCCTATTTCTACGTTCTTTCTGCGACAGTTAGGTAATGTGTTTTAAGACTGTCTTGATTCGCGAGAGGGGTAATGTCTATGGTTTTATCAGGTGCTTGAGTAGACCATACCAAAATATATATCTACCCGAGGGATTACATCAACCCATGGTCTATCCACAACTTCTACGACTGAAGTTGGTATAAACCCAAAATTTACAGACTTTGAAGAGTATAGCCTTAAGGAGTCAATCATTAATCAATAGACACTCAACAATTCACACCAAATTCTCAACCACAGGAATTCCACCCAGACCAGGCACCGTGACCTCTCCGAAGTCGGCCAAGTGGCACGTGGTTCAACCCTGCAGTCCTGCCTCTTCGGGACTAGTGTGTGCCGGACCCGGTGGACAGACCTACCTCGGCATCTCAGGCAACCCCTGCATCGATCCCTGGTTGTGTCGGAGGCTTTTTGATTACACTATGAGACACACCCGCTAGATGGACGATACGAGATGATCCCGAGGAGAGAAACGTTCTGATCAGCCTATCCCAGAGTGGATGATACACCGAGAATACGTCTCTGTATTGGAGATTGAAAGCCAAAGAAAGGACGGAAAAGTTCAACCAGCCATCCACCACAGGGGCAACCACTCGGGAGAATAACATGACAGTGTGCAGGGTGGATCCCCTTGCAAAAGAAGCAACGGAGCCGAGACGCGGTGCGAACATTATTGCGTATTAAGTCCAAACCCACATAGCCGAAGTCCCTGGGGTGGACCTAGGTGGGTCATATCCCCAGACAAACTCCACATGGTCTGCACCCCCCACATCCGGATTCGGCTCCAATAAGGATGGACAGAATGAGAGACAGAGAGTGAAAAGTCTCGTCCCCAACGAAGACTGGTGGGGAAGGAGATGGGAAGCATGCAAAGACCTAGTGCGTGGGCGACCGGCCGACCATCGCGCCCTAATACTTCCTAGATGTGGTCACCCAAGTCAGCATCACACCCAATCTAAGACGCTTCGAATGACACTTACGAGCACCACAGTCGCTTGTACCCAGAAAAACACATGTTCCCATACGCGTTGTAACAGCTGCGAGTTATCCGGCCTTTCTTCAGAAGCTTTCGTTCATTCATGTCTTCGGTCGTCTCAAGAAGCATGTCCCCCTGGTCCACCTCAAAAATCTGGAATTTGGTGCTGCCACAGCTGGGCGCGGATCCCACCCAGTAACAGTCGCCATCCTCCGGACTGTTGTTACAGCGAAGTCCTTGAGCCGCAAGGAAGAGGGTCGCGCTTGCCAACAAGATCGATGAATTGAGTTGCATGGTTCCGGTCCAGCGGAGTGCACTGGAAAGAAAAAAGATAGGAATCGGTCAGGGAGTGGTTTGTTCACGATGGACTATCCAGAGAAAGGTGTTCTTTATATATGAGAGGGATTGCTGCCGTCGACATGTGCAGCGAGTCTTTGACCACATTCCGTGGTGCAACATGGCGTGGTGCCCATGCGGAGATCTCGGCCACTGTGCGAGGATAAGGGTGTCAGCCGGAATTGAAGCTTTCGATAATAATGGCCAAGTCGAGGATCTATACCGGGGTGGTCCTAGTCTAATGCAAGTGCTATTGATGCAAGCCTTTGTTGGCGATCACCCTATTGATACCTAATTGCGGCCCGCGCAAGGCCACCGCTCGACCTTATCTCAGCCTCCTTTGTGACTTCGACGCATGGAGATACACCATTACATCACAAAGCAACCAATGGGAACATTTGTGTTCAATAAGACAATGACAGTGGGGGAATGAGTGTTGGCCGGGTGTGACCATAATGGGGCCTCGTGCGAGATGGCTTACCATTCCATACCACCCCATATCACCCGTGCTGACCCGAGACAAAGATTTTTCTGTGTGGTGCTGTCTGGTGTTTGTCTGTAAGCCCTTATTGGTAACTTGGGTTTTAGTGACATCTTTCCGCGGACGGAGAATTTCGAGCAAGGGATGGATGGTCATGAGGCTTGCTGGTAAAGTTGTCCTGAACATCGCCCACGTTGGCAATATAGTACAATGCAGTTGCATTGAATACTCAAACCACAACCCATTAGTCTATACTGATGGTGCGTTGAATATTTCACTGATTCAACCCTCTCACAACAAGCAATGAACCACCAAAAACACCACCCACAGAAAGGCATCCGGAATGCTCTTTTGCGGTCTATAGTCACATAGCTCTGGTAAGTTGTTGGCAGAAAGAGATATTGATGGCATTATTCATCTAGAACACCTAGTGTAGTGTGGCTTGGACAACGTCCTAGCTAGCTATTCACCCGGGATGGAAACACCAGACACTTCCCGACAGACGGCCAACAGCTGCTCCTGTTGCTTGACATTGCCAGCCCCAGGGTGTGGCGTCTCGGCGCCTCTGGTGGTGAAGAACGTCCCACTTTCCAAACTCGCCAGGTTGCCTTGCCCCGCGGCCCAATCTGCCAGCGCTTTGGCCGGCTTGTCCATCCCACCTGGGGCCATCGAGCCTCCCATCTTCGTGCGGACCCAACCAGGATGCATGCTCACCACCTGGAGATTGGTCCATCGACGCGAAAAGGCATTGGCCAACATCACAGCGTGCAATTTACTGTCGCTGTACGAGTGCGACTGCGTCACGTTCCGGAGCGACTCGTCCCCACCATAGTGGCTATCGGAGCTCATGTACAACAGGCGCCCCTTGGGCTTCTTCATCAAGCACGTGAGGATATATGGCGCGAGGGTATTGACGGAGAAGACCGCGGAGATTTTGTCGGCGGTAATCTCACGGCTTGACGTGGAGCCGTAGCCAATACCGGCATTGTGGATAATGGCGTCAAACGACCCCGAGCCCAACGCATTCGCTTCCTCGGCGAGTCTTTTGATCTCGGCAATAGACCGCAAGTCAGCGACCAAGACCGCCTCGGCCTTGGGAACGGCTTGCCGGGTCGAGGCGGCGCGGTCTGCGTTTCGAGCATGCAGGACAACGGAGTGGCCGCGGTCTGCGAGGATCTTTCCGGCGGCCTGGCCGATTCCGTCACTGGAGCCGGTGATAAATATACGAGCCATGATGAATGCCTAGTAGGAGGTTGTGGAAACGTTTTGGGGTTGAAACAGTCTGGAGAGGGGTTAGGATAAATACCACCCTGGATGATGTAAGTGCGGCGTGTCAACGATGACGTCATATACACCGACCAATGGTCCGTGATGGATGAGAGTAGGAGTAACAGAGCACTCAGTAAATATGAGAAATATTACGCCTGAACTGAATAGAGAGAACCCGCAATTCTACAGTGACAATAAACCCGACAGCGGATAGGGTGATATGTCCGATTCTTGATCAGAATGTATGCCTTTCGAGCCTACTGAGACAACTAAGAAGAGACTCCCAACAGTAATTCACCCCAACGCCCATCCCCATAGTCATGTCAGATTTTGAAGGTTTACCAAATCGTAGTATCGCCCGCGCCTTCTCATGAGTTGTGTATGGGTCCCAGACTCGACGACCCCTCCTTGGTCCAGCACGTAGATCACGTCGGCCCGTTGGATGGTGCTAAGTCGGTGAGCGACCGCAATCGTCGTGCGCCCGTGAGATGCGGCATCCAGAGCGGTCTGGACAATTTTCTCAGACTCAGAATCCAGCGCCGAGGTCGCCTCGTCGAGGAGGAGGATTTTGGGATCGCGAATGAGGGCACGGGCAATGGCAATGCGCTGTTTTTGGCCGCCAGAAAGCATGCCCCCTTTGCTGCCGACGATGGTATTGAACCCTTGTCTGCTACTGGTGAGTATGAGGAATAGGATGGAAGAGGGAAGGGTAGACTGACGGTAACGACATGATGAAATCATAAATGTTCGATTCCTGACAAGCTTTGATCACGGCCTCTTCGGTGATATCAGCGGACCCACATCCCAGCAAGATATTGTCACGGACGGTCCCCTGGAATAGGGCGGGTTCCTGCCCCACCAAAGCGATGTGGTTCCGGTACGACGCGGTGTCCACTGTCTGGATGTTTCTCCCATCCACGCAGATACTCCCTCTGGTAGCATCATAAAACCGCTCTAGGAGCGCGATGACTGTACTCTTTCCACTCCCGCTTGGACCAACTAGCGCGACGTATTGGCCCGGCTTGATCGTGAGGTTGAGTCGATACAGAACGGGCTGCTCCGGACGGGTGGAATAGCGGAATGTAACTTCGTGGAATTCGATGAGGCCCTGCATTTCCCGCACATGCGTGCCAGCATGGTGGGCGGTGATCCCCGAGGCGCTATCGAAAAGCTGTTTGAACTCCGCTGCCGCGTGCTTGGCCTTGCCCATATCGGGCGCATGGGAGAACACGGTGCCGGCAGCCTGGGCGCCGAAGATGACCTCGCTAAAGCAGACGTAAAATTTAAAAAGAGAGTATTCATGATGGCCGAAGAGGGTCCCGCCATACCAAAACCCCAGCGCCATGCACATGAACGGGAGAGACTGGGAAGCAGCGTACAAAAGCGAGGACTTGATAATGGGGAAAATGTCACTCCGTAGCTGTTGGCGGATCTGTACCTCGTAGGATCGGTGTATCTCACTCTCCATGGTCAAGCTCGCTACCGTACGAATGGCACTGGCCGCCTCGCATGCTGCGCTGGCGGATTGCTGGTACGCCTTTTTTGCGCGCCGCTGCAGTTTATCCAGCATCGACACGCGAACAAATCCGCACATCAATAGTACTGGGACCGCGGAAATGCAGACGAGGGCCAGCTTCCATCCCATGATCAGGGCGACCACTAGCGACGCCACAAGGTTCACGGAGACGATCAGGATCGTCCCCAGCGTGACACCACTGATGCCCGCTAACTGTTTCGTCTCAGCACTAAGGGTCGCCGTTAAGGCACCTGTGGAGTTCTCCGGACGGTCGAAGAAAGGGATGTCTTGCTGTAGCATGACGCGGAAGGCTCGGCTTCGCGCACGGTATACCATGCGCTCGGAGCTGTATGCGAACAGGGCGCCCTGAAAACTGTATAGGACTAGAGTCACTAGTCCGATCATCAGAAAAAAGAGTGACCAAAAGTTCGTATCATCGCGGAGTTTGCCATATTGCGATTCGGGGAGGGTCAGCGTGGTGATGGCTTTGGCAAACAACACTGCTTGCGATGGCTGGATCCCACCGGCCAGAATAGACGCACAGAGTCCGAGTACGAGGAAAGGCCTCTCAGGTCTGTTGAATGACGCGAGGAAATTGAATAAAGTCCAAATGGAGTACGGTCTTGTTCTCTTTGGCCCATGTGGAAAGGATGGCAAAGATATTCTAGAAACCGGACGCGCTACCTTCTTGCCCCCTTGCAAGCCAATGTCCGACTCGTCGTCTGTTCTCATGGAGAGCATCTCGTAGGCGTCATCGCTCAGATCATCGTCCTGGAGATACGAGCGGCTCATCCGGAACTTGGCCGTCAGCCGGTTCGGCGAGGGAGGCATATTTCTGTGTTTGATCTGCTGCGCCTCGACCATGTCACGATAGACGCCACCCTGCTCCATCAATTTCTGATGAGGACCCTGTTCGACAATCTTCCCGTGACGCAGGACAATGATATTGTGCGCATCTTTGATCGTGGAGAGACGATGTGCAATCATGATGGTCGTCCTACCCTGAGCGACGTTGTCGAGTGCGGCTTGCACGAGTCCCTCTGATTTAGTATCGAGAGCGGACGTCGCTTCGTCGAGAAGCAAGATTTTCGGGTTCTTCACGATGGCTCGCGCAATGGCGATGCGCTGCTTTTGGCCCCCTGACAGGGAACAACGCCCGATGTGGGTGTCATACCCCTGAGGAAGCGCCAAGATGAACTCATGCGCATTAGCCATTTGAGCCGCAGTTTCGATATGTTTCTGTACTTGTGCCATGGGCTGGGTGTCTAAACCGGAGCCTACCAGACCAAACCGGATGTTTTCAGCAATGGTGGCGGCAAACAGGCGAGGCTCCTGTGACACTAGTGACACTTGTTGTCGCAGCCATTGGAGGTTCAGCGACGCGATGTCATGACCGTCGAGGAAGACAGCCCCTGCGACGGGGTTGTAGAACCGCTCGAGCAGACCGATGATGGTACTCTTGCCAGACCCAGAGGGCCCGACAAAAGCTGTTGTCTTCCCCGCGGGGATGTCCAAATTTAGGTCATCGGCGACAACTACTTCGGGGCGGGAGGGATAGATATGTCGGACATTGCGTAGGGTGATGTCTCCGAAAACGCGATCGAATTTGATCCCCACGGACGATGATGGATCGAGTGGTGAGTGACGATCGATGGTCGTATATAGCTTAGATGTAGCAGCTACTGCCGTTGATAGTGCTTGTCCATGTGGAGCGACATTCCCCAGGTTATAGGACCCCAGGATAATCGCCATTAGCACGGTCAGAATATCTCCCGCTTTGAGATGATTCTCCGAGTTGACCAGAAATCGGGATCCCATCCAGAACCCCAGCCCGTAGTTCAGGTACATTACACAGAGCATGGCGCCGACCATGGCGACGAATGTCAACTGCGATTTCATGCCTGGTCGTTCCGCATCTTTGAGATAAGACTCGTACTTGCGAGCCAGAGTTTCTTGGGCGTCAAACGCTACGACTGTCCGGATAGAGTCCAGAATATCTTCCGCCAAGCTGGCGCCGCGCCCTTGACTCTCCAATGCAACCTTGCTGTAGACCAGCATGGCGGCAGAACACCCGCCCATGATTAAAAGCAGGGCAACCAAGGTGGCGCTGCAAATCAGAGCTAACTTCCAGCTTTTGATATATGCGATGATGAACGCGGTTACGAACGTCCCGAGCCCTGACAAGACCAGGCTGACCTTTTCAGAGATGCCATCTTGGATTAGATTGGTATCTGCGGTGATGCGCGTAGTGATCTCTCCGGCTCCGAGGTTATCAAAGAAGGCGATATTTTGCCGTAGGATAGCGCGGAAATAATGGATGCGGATTTGCTGCGACACATGTTCGCCCGTGTATACAAAGCCAGCGGTCGCAAGACAAGTAGTGAGGAACTCCCCAATAGCAAGGTAAACAAAGTATACAACGTTGGTGGTCAGTTCATCGTAGAAGTCGTCGTAAGACATCTGATGTGTTGCGACGTCCTGGAAAGTCGAGGTGAGGTTTCCGAATAGAACCTTGAGCGCGACGGTCAGTGATTTCATGGCAACAACAGCGACAGAGGGATCAGTACCGTGAATATAGGAAGCCCAGCCCCCGCTGCGACGGCAAACACGCAACTGAAACAGAGGATAACTAGGTCCGCTCGACTGGCATAGCGGTATATGCCAAAGAAGCCCACCTTGGACACTGGAGCGCAAAGCTGGGCCTCTAGAATGGCACTCTCGCTGCTTCGGCCCTTGGGAGTGGGCTGTTAGACGTCGTCAGTTGCCATCGTGAATCGGTCGCGATGGATTCGTGTCATACCTGATGAAGCCCCATAAACGATGGCCATTCCGTATCCTCCATTGTTCGATTATGGGGAATCTCTATGGCTCCGTCGAACGCATCGTACATCGGCCGCGTAGTCACCAGTACCCTAGTGTGGCTAGTGCACGGACAGATAGGGAAGAAAGCGTCGCCTGGCTTAATGACAACTCACGGGAAATCCTACTACATGTGGAAACGGCACCTACATGGGAGTGAGGTTTGGATCTGCTGTCGCTTAGATGCCCTTCGTGGTAGTGGACAGGTGACACTGCTAGAGGATGCACCCCATGGGGGATTGGAATCATCACATGGCTCAGGAACAGCGCACGAAGTCCCGGCCAGCGGTAAAGACGAGACATCCAAGATACGAACAGCACAATATCCTCGGGAGGATCACATCTATCCCGCGAAGCTTCGGCACCTGCATCATAATGTACTCCATAAGCCGTATTATGATGCCATAAACGAATTGGTTTCATCTTGATTTCCATGAATTGCCAAGCGATTCCTACCGTTTCCCCTCGTCTCCAGCGATCCCAGGATCTGCACGTGAAGGATCGACATGGTGAGGGGTGAGGGACATTTCGGAGCGACTTTGCAAAAAGGTTTCATAACGACCAGGGTGGGAGTCCTTATCAAACTCACTACCGGGGTGCCGGAAACATTAAGTTTGGCACGATGGATAGTGAAAAGCCAAGGGAACTCCCGTGGAGTCCGATGGCCGAGGAAGACGGAGTCAGGAGGAATGGAGAAGGGATCGACCGATAGCGCGGCGAATGATAACCTTAGTTGAACCGAGAATCAAATTATGGGGCCGATGAAGCACGTTCCTCGGCCATTGCAACGCGTCCCATGTGTTTAATCGATGCCAGGAAGAGTCTAGACTGAGGACTTCTCCGCTCTTGACTCGTGCAATGTGTTCTCTATAGGGTATCGTGCCCTAACCTGCATCGACTTCCCCTGACATGCCCCTGCCCAGCGAAGCAAGGGGACGATTGCCATTAATCTATTTCCTACAGGGCAGGAATCCTACCATCCAATGATGATTTTTCTCCCGCCTCCATCGTCTTGTCAACCGACCTGCAACCCAATATCACAATTGCTGAACGAGGTCAAAACAAAGGTCAATTTAAATTTGAAACACAAAGATCTAACAAGCAATGCGGAGTTAAGTAACAGTGGGCCGGTTCCGACCATGGCGCCGGCTTAGTTCGTTAGACTCAGGCGGCCCTCTCGCGGCGCTGCAATCTCACCCGCAAATCTGGGAGTTCCCAAAATGCGTAGCACGGACTCTGGCGCTGCCAGTCCTTCACCTTCCCCACATACTCCGCATCAAAGTCCAGAAAGAAGGCCGCCAGGGTCAACTGGAGCATTTGCTTGGCAAAGTACTTGGCAATACAAGCCCGACTCCCGACAAGGAACGGCTGGACCGCTTCCTTGCGATCTGTCGATCCTGGCTCCGTCCAACGCTCCGGAATAAATTCGTAGGGTGCGTTGAAATAGTCCGGATTGTGGTGCAGGGAGAACAAGGAAGTGGCAACTTCCGTCTGCAGTAGTGGTACAAATATTAGTATAGCGAGGTGAAGTCGGACAAGCCACTTACCCCAGCAGGGATGTATGTTCCATCCACATACGCCCCTGGCGACACACGCGGTCCACCCATGGGAACGGGGGGATACAGCCGAAGCGCCTCTGTAATCACCGCGTCAAGGTACGGCAGTTGCTGGGCCACTTCCCAGGAGACATCCTCTGCCGAGTGAAACGCGCTCTGCAATTCACGGAGTAATTTTGCATGAGACTCCGGGTGTGTCAGGACGAAGTAGATGACGGCACAGAGGGCATTCTGGGTAGTATGGAAGCCAGCCAACATGATAGCGCTAAAGTTCTCCGCTATCTCCGCTTCAGGGAGGTCGCTGGTCCCTGCACGCTCCATCACTTCAACCATGATATCGCGGCGATGGTGCGATGCACGTAGTTGTCTGAAAACTCGCATGTGTTAAACCGAGGGGCCGGGGATGCGGGGGAAGATGAGCATCGGCTTACTCGTTGATCAACCGCATACGTGCCTGCTCACTGCGGGCACGAATTCCCTTGCGTAGAAGACGTCGCAGCATCCATTTGATCATCGTGGGGACCCCAGATCCTTGGAATTGGTCTCGGATGGTTGCCCAGAAAAAGATCCGCGGCAGCTGCTCTGTCCAGAAGTAAGGCTTGCCCCGCTGCAGGCATCCTAGCGGCTTTCCTAGCAGAACTTCGGACACCGTATCCACCGAGTGGCAGTAGAACAGTTCATTGAGCGTCAGTGTATCGGTGGCCGCTAACTTGGCCTGAATCACGTCATGAAGGCGCAGAACACACCCGCGGATAACTCCCCCATGTGCTTGCATGCTTCCAGGGGTGAGGGAGGGCCCGAACAGCTTGCGCACTGACCCATGATATCCAGTGTCCGAAGCAGTGAATATGTTCTGTCGCGAGATATTCTTGTAGAACCCTGTTTTGAGAAACGGTGTCGATTTTCCAGAGCCCCCACCGTAAATGTTTCGCAGGGCCTTGAGCGTGTTTGTTGTGGCCTGCCCTGGAGTAAACCGTGCTATCTTCCCTGCTCACGGTTAGCGGGGTTTTGAGGAACGGTGGGGATGATTATCACCATAGGAAAGATGGAGAGAATGAAAATGGTGAGCGCTCCTCCCGGTCACGAATGATATCTTGGTGATGACCTATGCCGATGCATGTGAGAAGTCGTGCTTTCTTGGCTCATGTAAGAACTTACGCCACAGAAAAAGAGATCCAGGAACGAACCCGGAACGTCTTTGATGACGGGTCCCTTTGGTAGAAGCTGGACATAAAGGGATAGAAGCGTTAAGCCCTGGCATCATGTTAGTTGAACAAAATGACCATAGTATGCGCTGTAAGAGGTGTGCCTGACATACCACGAATATAGCAATGGCTGCGTAGGTGACAGTAGTTGAAGGATAATAGAACTCGGGTATCTGCCCCGAAGGAAGGGCCACAGCAAGAAACACCATACTGATAGCAGCAATTGATGTAGTAGATTGTAAGTTGCTCTTCTTGTACTTGCGATATGTTAGACATCTTATTTATCTCGCAAGGAATATCACTTATACACCGTCAAACCCCCTCCCCTCTCACAAGTGCCAAAGCGCAGTCTGACCAGGACATCACCTACTCCGTACGGACGCTGTCCCCTTCTCCTGCGACTATCAGGTGGGTCATTTCATCTTTCTGGCGAACCTCGAAACAACCTCGGCGTACACCAATTGCCTCAGACTCTTTTCATCAATCGGCTCATGAGTCGGGTCTTCTCGGTTGTCAGAAGGTTGAGGCATCGCTTATTAGGTTCTTGGCAGCAAATGGAGGTGTGAAGGTTCCCAATCCCAGTGACTAGACAGAACGATCTACACCATCTCATTAGTCGCGAAGCGACATATGGATATAGTTGGTGGTTGTGGCCCGTTCCCCTCCTCCTCTAATCTAATTTCCCGTTGCTTGTTATTTCTCGGCTTTTCGCTTCCTTAAGAAAAGCTATCTGCGTGCCCATATATTGGGAATTTTGGACAATATATTTATCGGGCCTTCTTGTGATAGCGCTCTCTTGCCAATAGTCGGGCCACTGATATATTCTACCCTCAATCAAACTCACAATGGCCGATGTGAGCGTTCTGTTCCTCGCCAACAGCGAACATGGTCAGACAAACATTATTTTGGCCATGACTCATGAGCTACTGGTGCGCGGCGATGTGGACGTGCACATTGCTTCGTTTCCTGTGCTGGAAAAACGGTTGGAAAAGCTTCTGAACGACAATTTTGCCGCATACAACGACATATTTCGATCAAGAGTTCACTTTCATCCGCTGCGGGGTCCCTCAAACACGGATGTCTTTATTCGCACTGGTAAACGAGGGGCGTTCCATCCTCCTGGGTACCATGGCGCAGTCCTTGGTTTCCAGTCGCTTTGTGAGGATATATGGGGATGGACCGAAGAGGAATACGTTGATATCTACCACTGCTGCATTGAAATTATCAAGAGCGTACAGCCGTCGGTTATCGCGTCGGACTTTTTCTTCCTGATGGGCCGCGATGCGGCGTTCAATGCGGGATACACAGCCATTCTGATCAACACCACCTCTCTCACGCACATCGTGCTAGGGCTGCAAAAGGGCTCGGCTGCCCTGTGGAAATACCCTCTGTAAGTTCTTGGACTTTACATTTCAACGGTTTCACTGACACCCTCCAGCCCCGGGACTGGCTTCCCTTATCCACTCCCATGGCATCAAATCCCGTTCAACACCCTTGCCGTCCTTAAAACAGCGAAGATGTATCACGGCAGCGGCCGTCGACGCGAGATTCGCGATTGGCGTATTCGTAATAAGATTCACGGTCGATTCCCCTTTGCCGACTCTTGGCGACCAGACCGGTTTCACCTGACGCCGGCGTTGAAGGAGCTCGACTGGCCGATGGATGTGCCAGATAACATCTTGCCTTGCGGGCCAATCCTCCTGCCCACGGCGTCTGTTGAAAAGCAGGACCCGGAGATGGCTGCATGGCTAAACCGAGGTCCTACAATCTTGGTGAATCTAGGTACATTGTATGCACCAGACCCGGAAGTGGCCGGAAATATTGCCACTGGGCTGAAGTTATTCTTCGATTCTTGGAAAGGAGAGGGGGTCCAAGTCCTCTGGAAGCTACCCCCTCATCCACATGACGAGGATGGAATATATCACCAGGCAATTCAAATCCTTCAGAAAGAAGTGGATCAAGATCGCGCGCGCATCCAGTCGTGGTTCCAAGTGGAACCTATGGCGATGCTGCAGACAGGTCAAATTATTTGTTCCGTCCACCATGGCGGTGCCAACTCCTGGTATGAAGCTATCCAGTGAGTGTGATTCCCCCCGCCTCCTTCCCTACTGGCCTACACCATGCCCAATATCTAATCCCTACAGAAATGGAGTCCCGCATGTGATCCTCCCTGCCTGGCAAGACTGTTATGAGAATGCCGCTCGAGCCGAATGGCTAGGGATCGGCGTATATGGCAACCGATCTCGGGCTCCCAGCATCGACGGCAAAGAGCTTAGCAGGGCGTTACTGAAAGTGATGAACAACAAGTCGTACAAAGACAAGTCCGTGGAAATGTCGAAGCTGTGCCATAAGAAGGAGGGACGTGTGGCCGGGGCGGAAAAGATCGTGGAAATTGCGCGGAACCCGGAAAAAATGTCCATGGACATGCCTGAGCTCAATTTTGGTGACCCTCAGTGCAAGCTGTACGAGGTCAAAAATAATGCCGGCATGGTACTCCATACGCTCGACCCTCCCAGGCCCGTAGGCAAAGATTCGTCAAAGTCCGTCCCCTTTCTATACTTTGTCTGACTCGGAGACTGACGAACAACAGATCCTTTTCCACTGACATTGCTGAGACCCTCCTTGTTACCGCGCTCTGCAACACATGGTGCATGCTACCACTCATCGGATACTCGATGCTTCTGGTGCCCCGTCTGCGACTCATTGCCTTGCTCTATATTCTTTACATCAAATTTGTGGCGAAGGCACACACCACAGGCACACTCCCTTTACGAAATGACACGTTCCGTACGTCGTGGGTCTGGAAGACATTTGCTGCCTACTTCCCTCTGCGTCTGTATCGATCTACTCAGTTGTCCCCAGGGAAACGGTACGTATTCGGATATCACCCCCACGGTGTGGCCTTCCGGGGAGCGATGGGGACCCTGGCTGCAGATTCTGCGGGGTTCTCGCAGCTCTTCCCCGGCATTACCAACACCCTATTGGTCAAAGATGAGTTCTTCTACCAGCCCCTCCTCCGGGAATACCTGCTCGGGGCTGGCGCCAGTGGTGTTTCGCGGAGTTCGTGCATCCGCCACCTGACGAAGAACGGGCACGATGGACGTGGGATGGGCAGTGCTATCACCATCACGGTGGGCGGCAGCCGCGAATACAACATTGCGGAGCCCGGGACTATGGGTGTAGTGGTCAAGATCCGCAAGGGTTTCATCCGAGTGGCGGTTTCGACAGGAGCGGAGCTAGTACCAGTCATCGGCTTCGGCGAGAATGAGCTGTTCGACCGGGTCGACATAAAATCGTCGCGACTGCTCACTCCCCTAGCCAAACTATGGGAGTGGTCGGTCGGCCACAAGGTCGCATTTTCCACCGGGCGCTTCAATATCTTCTGTCCCCATCGTAAACCGCTCAATGTGGTGGTCGGGAAGCCAATTCCGGTTCAGCAGCAACGATATGACCCGGATGAGAAGTATATCGAGGAGCTACACTTTCAATATCGGGTGCACTTGCAGAGTCTCTGGGACGACTGGAAGGACGTGTTTGGGGTGGACCGATCTGTCAAGTTCGAGCTGGTTGACTGATGAACTGCTATATATGTGCTTCGCGCGGCTGAGTACGGAATGTGCTGACTTCCGGGTGACATTTGCCCGTTCTCGTTCTCTATTGCGCATCTATATCCTTGTACCGAGTTATGGACCATCTTAAAGCACGCTAGTTCTGCCGAGGGCCTCTTATTTCTGATAGTTATATGATCCTGCTGCATTAGTGTTTCGTCTCGAGTCATATCATTTGTATCCGATGTTGTCTTACATCGCCTGTTTTTTTGACGACGAATATCCACCAGGAACTCGCAGGATTTCAATGCCTGGATGACATGCCTCTAAAAGTCGCGGGAACGAGTTAGTGAAAAGAAACGACGAGACGTGTCGAGAAGAGGATTGGAAATTGCAAAGGAGGGAAGAGCAGGAGTCAGGTGACTGACCGTCTTGCTCGTTGTCAGTCATCAATGCCCTGACCGGTGATTTGTCTCTTCCCAGAGCATCCTCGTAACTGTCACTCTGGATTCACTTTCGTACAACCTTGGTCTGAGTTGGAGGTACTAATTCCCGGGCTTACCAATCCGACCAAGGATTTCGTACCACTTTGCAAATGACGCGGATCCTCTAGACTGCCCAAAGTTACAAAACGCGTCTATTGCGTGGAGTCAGATCGCATCTTGAGTTGCGCCCGCTCGACCCACTTCACGTCATGGCTCCGGAGTTGGTTCATTTGGGTGGCGACTTCCACTGCTACGCCAGTGGAGTAGACGAAGCTCGGTTCATCTACAGGGAGGTTTTCCAAGATCACAGCTACGGAGGCTCTGATCTCCCATCAAAACCGCTGATCGTCGACGTCGGTGCCAACATCGGGCTCTTCTCTCTGTACATGAAGCAACAGCACCCAGGGGCACAGATTCTAGCTTTTGAACCAGCCCCAGAAACTTTTGATGCCTTGACCCGCAACCTCGCGCTACATGGGGCATCCGACGTCGCAGCACATCGTTGTGCCCTGGGAGCAGATACGCATACGGCTACGCTGACGTACTATCCAAACGTCCCGGGCAACTCAACTCTGCGGGGCATGGACAAGATGCGTGATCAAGAGGTCTTGCGGGAACACTTTGGAGCTGTGAAGGTGGAAGGCTGGTTTCGAGACCCTGTCGAGGTTGAGGTTCCCGTTCACCGGTTGTCGGACTACTTGGGTAGATATGTAGACGAAGGCGACGCTATCGACCTACTGAAAGTCGACGTGGAGGGATCGGAAATGTCGGTACTTCGGGGGGTTGACGAGGCGGATTGGTTGCGAGTGCGCCATGTGCTGGTCGAAGTAACCGGTCTCAATGGCTGCCGGGACCAGGTGCAGAATTTCCTGCAGGCTAAGGGGTTCAAGCTTTCCTATGCTGCGGCTCGAGAGATTCCAGAAGGGTTAAAAACAGGCGTGTTGACGGCCATCCGGGGCCCATCAAATGAAGACTCAGGCGTGAATCTTGGGGCATAATCACGGAGCTCCACATGTGGACGGCGTTCATCAGGGGCTGCTTCAGGGACCATGGCGGGTAATACCCACACCATCAATAAATACACGTCCAGCACACACCTGTTGCGCAGTGTACATCTGTCGCAATAAGAGAAGATAGATTACAACTCGACTACAAATGCTATCGTGACACCTCTAAGCCTGTTGAGTAGCCCCATATTAAGCACAACCATCTCTTTCGTTGATATGCTTGCCCGGTGGGCGTAGATCACCCTAGGAGCTAATGAGTCATTGAGGGGTCCATTATCCCGAAGGGCACTCCTGCGCTCGATTCCAATAACACTGTGACTACCATGCTAGACTAGACCCATCCTCAGCTACCGAAGTATCCAAGGGAAGGAGCGTTCAACCGTGGTGGGGTCAGGCGGCGGACATTCTTCCGAGTGATGGTGGGGCATCTCCAATCTTTGGCAATGGATGATCCCCGCATTCACCAACCTATTCTCATTATTCCATTCCTTGACTTCCCCTGCCAGTGGTAAACACCCTGATCAACATGTCTATGACCCTACAAGATTGTGCAACTGTGAGGGAGGGATTTCCCCGACCGTTCCCCAACACCCCCACCAATGTTCTGGAACAGTTTTCCCTGCGGGGAAAGGTGGTGGTGATCACGGGCGCCGCCGATGGCATCGGGTATGCTGTGGCCGAAGCCATGGCCGAGGCGGGAGCTGACATTGCCATGTGGTATAACTCGTATGTTCATCATGGCCTTCCATTCGGCAGTGAATAACGTGATTAGCAACGACGTGGCGGTTGCTAAGGCCCAGTCCTTGTCCCAGGAACACAATGTCAAGGCCACCGCGTACAAAGTGGATGGTGAGTTAGCCGAACCCTCAGTTTTTATCGCTTGGTAGCCAGACTGACAGGGTCCTAGTGTCAGATCCCGACACTGTTCAACGCAGAATTCAGGAAGTTGTGACCGATTTTGGGAAACTGGATGTATTCATCGCAAACGCGGGCAAGGCCATCTCACCCTAGGGTACTGTATCTATACTCATATGTTATCTAGGGATGGCGATTTCGAAACCGCTTCTGCAACAAACTCTGGAAGAGTACCGCAAGCAGATGTCGGTGAATGGTAATGGTCACTGTCTACGGCCCCGATGAGGAACAATCAGTTGACTCTACCAGTTGACGGCGTTCTGTATTGCGCCAAACACGCCGGGGATATCTTCCAACGCCAGGGCTTCGGCAATTTGATCATCACGTCCAGCATGAGCGCCCAGATCGTCAACGTCCCGGTGGACCAGCCCGTTTACAACGCCAGCAAGGCGTTCATCACGCACTTTGGCAAGTCTCTTGCTCGGGAGTGGCGGGAATTCGCCCGCGTCAATATCGTCTCCCCCGGATTCTTCGACACCAAGATGGGCGCGAGCACAGAGACGGTGCAGGAGGCGTACCGAATGACGGTGCTAGGACGTCAGGGCCACACCAAGGAAATCAAAGGCCTGTACTTGTATCTGGCCAGCGATGCCTCTACGTACATGACGGGGAGTGATGTGATTATTGACGGGGGGTATGTACTGCCATAGGTGACTGAGAGCCCAGAATGGTTTTATCGGATTTAGAACGGGCTTGAGAGTGGTCGAGAGATACAGAGCAAGAAGAAAAACACTATACGGATATTCCAAACCATCCAAATGTACCCATTAACGCGACCCAGTTTAACACACCGTCGGCGACATCATCCAGGTCTGTTGTGTTGAGTAACCCATAACCCAAGACTAGCTAGCTAGACATTGTCACACGATCCACGCACCATCCGCTGGGGCTTCTTCAGCTTCTTTCTATCCTCCGCATAAATCACTACACTTTCACCCTCGGCACCGATAAAGGTACAGAATCCTCCTCCAGGGGAGGAGATTTCGAAGACGATCATTGGATTGGCTAAACAATTAGCGTTTCGGTCTATATCGTCGGTATACACGAGAAGGGAAAACACATACTAATAGCATGGCTGGAGGCATCGGTGGGAAAGGACTGGCCAAACCGTTCTCCACGGCCGCCGTGGAAGGTGACAGCGACGTCAAACGCAGCCGTCAGGGAGGCGAGGGAGGCGATGGTAGCAGCGATGACGGAGGTCTTCATTTTGAATGATACTCTGGAGTTTGATCTTTTGGTTATGGTCGAAGTTTGTCGGTTCTGTGGTTGGTATTGAAGACCATCTTCAACCCAGGTGCAATGGCGGGCTTTATACCCGTCGTCGGTCTGCCAGCTCGACTGCGTTTTCGCAAGATTATGCCATCTCGCTGTCCAGAGAATGTCTATCCATACCAGGCTGGCAATCATCACCAATAAGGCCTCCTATTGCCACAAATAGATGGTGGTCGATGTCGTAAGGCCGCCCATGGGATCGACAGTTCCCAGCGACAGGGAGGCGCGGCACCACAAACTGCGAGGGCTCGAATACGGGGTAGGGCAGGATGGGACAATCCGATAGGTCATCACACATTCCATGTGGGTCTTTTAGCTAGATTTCCGCCGGGCCAACTCCAATCCACAACGCAAGGGAACGACGTCCCACGCATGAGACAGGTAGGGGCCGGAGTGGCTGGCTCCACTCATGGTGAACCATGTCTAAGTCGTGATCGCGAAGGATTGCTGACTGGCTGGCCTTATCGTTCTCATTTGGCATAAATCAGACAATCTGTGGCTGCTACATGGAGAAGGTGAAGACCGTCCTATTAATAGATATGATTTGTCCAGTGGACGCTGTATCTCAATATAGAAAACCTTGGTTCATCCCAAACGTAAACCTGGCTTTTCGTTAGGCGTGCTATGTGATTAACCAATCTTCAATTTTGCATGGTTGATCTTTGAAACATGTATACCTGGATTCCTCGGAGGTCTGACTGTCTCGCAATTGTATCCATATCTCAGCCGTGATTGGATTCTCTGACATTCCCCTTACTGACTGAGCTCGGAATGGCTCGTGTTCGCGGTGTGGATGGAGTCCACGGATATTTAGACTGTCGATCTTCCATTACATTCCCTTTTGTTGACTGATGATGGGTGAAACCACGGTATTATAATTCAGCCCAGTAAGGATGGTGAATTACACACAGAATTCGTTTTTCTGAAGAATGTGTACAGGAGCGTCCTTCATAGTGACAGTCCGATCCAGTAGCGTCAGAGAGTATCAATATATGCAGCTCACTGACATTGGATGTGATCGCTGTATGGGCAAGTCATGATCAGTCTAGGTCAATCTACTAACCTTGACCATCCAAATGCAATCAAACTGTTTTTTGGGGATATGTTGGGATGGGTCTCATGTCAAGTATACAGTCGATTCTTCATGTAGCAGATTAGGTCGTACAAATAAGATACAGTCAGCTTCATCAATGATCCTTGTCTCTGATCACAAATCAACCATTGTTCAAGTACGTAGAATTAAGCGTGGAACTATCACATCTACCATACTTGCTCCTGAAATAATGAATCATGTAGCTAGTTACCCTATTCGCACTTGTATAACATTTATCAATGTCAGCTATTATAAGTATTTGCCGGGAGATACTACCAATCATGTATAGCTTCCCAGGGTTAACTATACATATCCAACTCCCGTGATTACCAATAGTCATGGGACAGACGTTGCCCTAATTTCTCCATCGATACTCGGTATATCCAGGCAATAACGGACCATGCTTGCGCTCGCCCTTATCTCAGGTCATGAGCATCGTCAGCACGAAGTGCGATGCGGAGATGATAGTAGTCAACTGGATTTGTGCTGCAGCTACTCGATGGTTCGGGTTAAATAGCCTATCCGACCCCACTCACCCTCGGCGATTGGGCAAATCGGCGTTGTCAGTCAGCCCAACAGGGATCAGTGACTGGTTATCATGTCGATCACCTTCACGATGAATGAGGGGCAGGTTAGCAAGACGCTTGGGGTTTACTTATCACTGTTTATCATGTTGAAAGCATTCTTCTCCTCTTAACAGGTATAAAACTGTCCCTATCATCCACCATGACTCGACTTCCCCTTCAGCAATCTCTTAAGCAGGCAATACGGTGGCAGCAGAGATCACTGCGTCGATTCTCTCTCAGCACAATGCCTTTCCAACAAGTGAAGCCATCGGCCAATGGTGGTCAGCATGACCACACCCTGTGTGCAAACCGAAAGACCGAAACGGCCATCCTCCACGCCAAACTCGACACCGTCCCACCAACCATCGTCAACAGTCAAGGGATTTACCTAATTACAGAAGACGGACGCAAAATCGTTGATGCCAGCACTGGAGCAGCCGTGGCATGTATAGGACACAACAACGCCCGAGTAAACTCGGCCATCATGAGCCAACTCAACAGCTTCGCCTACATCTACTCGCCCTTTTTCACCAGCAAGATATCCGAGAAACTAGCGAGAGCGCTGAGCGACTCCACGCAGAACCAAATGGCAAAGGCGTTCATCGTCAGCTCTGGTAGCATCTTTTCCCGTCCACCACACAACCATGTCGGCGCTGATCCGGGAAATAGGCACCGAGGCGATCGAAGCCGCCCTCAAGATGGCGCGACAGTATTTCCTAGAACTTCCCAAGCCCCAGACCAAACGAACCCATTTCATCGCCCGTAGACAGTCCTATCACGGGAATACGCTAGGCTCGCTATCCGTGGGAGGACACTTTGCCCGGAGGGCGCCATACGCGCCCCTCCTCACGGGAAACGTATCCCACGTTTCACCCTGTTATGCTTACCGCGGGAAGACTCCCGGCGAGAGCGACGAGAGCTTTGTCGCGCGTCTCGCCCAGGAACTGGAAGATGAATTCCAGGCCGTGGGACCGACCAAAGTGTGCGCATTCGTTGCAGAGACCGTCTCCGGCACAGTAAGTAGACATGCCTACCAAATATTACGTCAATGCTTAACCCAACCAGACACTCGGCTGCGTCCCTCCTGTACCAGGATACTTCCAAGCAATGCGAGCAGTCTGCGACCGGCACGGGGCTCTCCTGATGATGGACGAAGTGATGTCCGGGATGGGCCGGTGCGGAACCCTGCACGCCTGGGAGCAGGAAGGGGTCGTGCCAGACTTGCAAACCGTAGCCAAGGGTCTCGGGGGCGGCTACGCGCCAATCGGGGCGTTGCTAGTCAACAAAAGGGTGATAGATGCACTGAAGCAAGGCTCGGGGGCCTTCATCCACAGCCAGACATACCAGGGCCACCCGGTGGCATGCGCAGCCGCATACGAAGTGCAGCAGATCATGCAAGAAGAGAATCTCCTGGAAAATGTGCGCGAACTGGGTCCCTATGTGGGGAAGTTGTTGCAGGACAAGTTGGGCGACCATCCACACGTCGGCGATATCCGGGGGAGGGGGTTCTTTTGGGGGGTATGTCGGCTCTTGCGCATACAAGACAATGCCTTGTATACTGGACATGGCTGACCACACCAACAGGTGGAATTTGTGAAAGTCAAAGCAACTAAGGAGCCCTTTCCAGTCGAGCAACGGGTCGCACCGACGGTGTTCAAGACCGGGTTGGCTGATCACTCGATTTCCTTCATCCCGGGTACGGGGGTCGCCGATGGGAAGAATGGGGATATCATCCAAATCGCACCGCCGTACAATGCGAGTCGGGCGGATATTGAAATGATTGTAGAAAGAACGGCACAGGTAGTGCGACAGGTACTTGGATGAGGTATGATTGGCCGTTGGGGAGATTGCATGCGCTTGGTGAAGTAGTTACAGGTCTCATTGCTGGAGTCTCCAAACCACATGACAAACTTACAAGTTAATGAATTGGGCAAATAGTGTTCGTTTCTTCGTGTCTAGTTCTATACAGCACAGGGTATATATGAGAATCTGGCGTCATGTCCTGAACCTCCTCGATAGCATACCAGGTGAAAGACAATAGTGCTGTCAAGCCTGTGACCATCTCTTGTCAACGTAAGGGCTATCATGTCTTATTCGTCAATTCGCCGCAATATCGCGCGCACATCCGGCCTTTTGACCGGTTTCACGAGGAACGTGTCGATCCCAGCGCTGGCAGCTTCCTTCCGAGCAGCTGGACCGTCTAGACCGGTCAAACCTGCGATAACGGTGCGTCGAACCGACTGGCGTTCTGACTCGGGCATCTGCTCGAGGCGTTCACGATCGAATCGGCGCATCTCTCGGGCTGCTTCGAAACCATTCATGATTGGCATGGAGATATCTAATTGGATTAGTGACTTTATAGGTAAACACCTTGCGGGTCGGAAGTGTACCTAGCAGAACAACGCGGAAATTTCCAGGATGCGCCTTGTACGTATCCACGGCTTCTTGCCCATCCTGGGCTGTCATATACTCATAACTTTCTTTCTTGGTGTAGGCTGTGAGTAATTGCAGGTTAAGGTCGTTATCGTCCACCAAGAGTGCCGCTCGCCCGTCACTTTCTTTCCGCTGAGCGGGCTCCACAGAGGACGAAGGCACCAGACATTGTTGATGAGATTCACCCATGGAAGTAACTGTGGCACCCGTGGACTGCGGGCTGGGGGTCCCCATCGTGTCCATGGTCGGCCGTTTATGAATCGGCAATCTTTTGCTCGGCGCATCCGCGGCGCTAACGTCTAATGGCAGACGGGAGGATTCTGGCATCTCAACCCAGCGAGTATGTTCGCCAGGATTTGTCTCCCCGATTTGTCCTGTGCGGCGTTTGATACAGAGACTGAGGGCTCGAGCCAATTTCCGAGGGCCGCACGGCTGGCTGATAAACTCGAAGATGCCGGTTTGCTCGCGAACTTTGGCAGCCACGAACATATTGTGCGCTACTTCGGGATATTGGCAGATCACCACCACAGGGGATTCGTGGCCCACGCCACCACCGCTGTGTTCAGCGAGGCTGAACAGGTCTCTTCCCTTGGGGTCCTCGCTGTCCAGCTCGGTTTGCACGGCCAGATAAAAGTCAAACGAAGCAACTTCATCGCCGACCGGAGACACCGAGGTGACGTTCAAGCCAAACCACCCCTGACACATCCGCTCAAGGGACTCGTACAAAGTGATGTCGCGCTGAGAGGAAAGGGAGGCGCCAAACCCTAATATCCCAATAGACTTGCCCGCCGTTTCCCGACGAAGCGCGTTGAATGCCGACATCTCGGGGGAGGTCTCAAGGGAACTCCCAGGGGAGTCGGAGACAGGGTAGCGCCGGAGCGCCGTTCGGATGGTCATTTCCGTCCCTTCTCCCCTAGCGGAAACGATGTCTATAGAGCCCCCAATCGACCCAACAGCCTGTCGAACAATACTCAAACCTAGCCCGCTCCCGGCCGCAAGGGGGTTTTCTTGCGAGAAAGGCCGGAAGAGATCATTTTGCAGATACTCGGGGCTGATGCCTTTGCCAGTATCTTTGACCGTGAGAACCACATCATCCTGATCAAGCTGTTCCGCTGGCGTGCCTGAATCAGAGTTCGTAGCACTGCTAGGTAGATCTTTAGAGGACGATTTCAACCCCAGATATATGTAGCCAGAACTGGTGTATTTCAAAGCGTTCCCAAGCACGTTCATTAAAATCCGACGCCACGCACCCGCGTGGGTGAAGAACTCCCAATTTGCGTCGTACTGGATGTCAAATATCACAGTCACCTCCTGGATTTGATTTCCAAGCGGTTTTGAGCCCTTCCTCCTACTGGTTGTTCGAGACGACGAATCGACCAACGCCGGTGGGGGTTGTTGGGGGTGATGATAGAAGCTATACCCCGCAAACACACATTCGGCCACCTCCTCGAGGACAGAATCCAGATTCACCCGCGAGTATGAGCGGAACTTATCGGCGTCGTTAGACTTGGTCATTTGGTGATCTGTAGAACCGGCTGGTTCGTTTTTCCCAGGGCCAATCGCTTTCGCTTGGAATTTGTTGATGAAGGTTAAGTCGAGCAGGTTATTGATGGTGTCGAGCAATGTGCGACCGCATGATTCGATAGTATGCACCATGCCGTGTTGCAAAGCGTTCATGGCCGTATCACTGAGGATATCCGCCGTGCCCAGGATTCCATGCAGGGGATTTCGAAGCTCGTGGGAGATGCTGCTGACCAAGTTGGTTTCCGCCTTCTCCGCCATTTCCACGTCGAGACGACGGATCTCCGCCATGATGTTATTAGCGAAAGACGAAACGTAAACAAGCTCATTCTCAGCCGAGAAAACACGGGCCGGAGTATTCGTCCATATCAAAGACCCCGCAAAGCATCGGGTTCTATCGAAGTCCCAAACCGGTGCGAGCAATATATGCCTGGCGTCGGGAAACATTCGAATTAGACTCTCGGCGTCTTGTCGAAATTTAGACCGGGGTCGCTTCTTGCTAGTCAGGGATCGCTTCTGGGAAGCAGAGCCGGTCGAGGATGCAATCTCCGACGCGTCCGATCCCGACGCCTGCCTAGATGTATCGTCGCTGTCATCGGAAACGGAACCATCGGCGTTGTATGTAAAAATCTTTCCATGGGGGTAGCGTCGCAGCAGGCGCGTAAGAAGGAGCTCCGGCACCGTCCCTTCGCGACCAACGGCGGACTCATCATTGATACTCGAGGTTCGCGAGGTGGCATACCCCAAGGTGAAAGCGCTGCCATCCCCGTCATTCTTAGACTCCGATACCGCAGAGGCCACGTCAGTACTCTCGTCCCCGCTTGAGGTCGAATCGCCATCCTCAATCCCAGACACCTGACGACTCGTGCGGTCGACTACGCTCCCGAACCGTTGGCTGTTCGCGCCCAGGAAGACGACACCCTCCGCCTCGACCGACTCACGGATCAGGTTGGCCGCCCGTGAAAATATAAGCTTGATTCCTGTCAACGAGTCCTCCTGTGGAGGGTCACCGGTGAACCGGGCCCGAATTGGTTCATTGGGGGGGGATGGCGCCGTGGTCTCGTGGCGCTGCTCGGGACTTGGGGATATGTTTCGATCGCCAGAAGAACCCTGGCGATGGGCATCCCGAGACTTTCTCGCAGAGTCATGATGAGACGCTGAGACTGGAACACCGCCCTTTGCGGCTTCTTGCAGGCCCTGCTGGCGCATGTTTAACTGTCCTTCCACTTTCTGTCCCGAATGATCCGATGCCTTTTGCTGTGCGGTAGCTTCGTACCAGGAGTCGCGGAGGGTGGCTCTGCCTTCCACGAAGCTGCCCAGGCCAACGATCATCCGTTCAGCCAGGCGGTTTTTGTGCTCGGACCGCTGCATTTCCAAATGGCCCATCACCGTTGCGGCCATGTCTTTCATGAATTGGACCGAATGCCGGTCCAAGCCAGCTGGGCGTGGCTGTGTATCTATCACAGCGTAAGCGCCGATGGTGTATCCTCTGGGGCTTATGATGGGCACCCCTGCGTAAAAGCGCACGTCGGAGAGTGCAGCTAGGAGGGACGACCTGAAAGGGTCGTCATGAGCTATGTCCGATATTACCACTGCACTCTTATCCATCACCACGCCCTCGTGCGAGTGCTTCGAAGATGGCAGGCCGGACACAAGGTTGCAAAGCCCCCGCTCCTTCGGAAAGACACAACACCCTAGTCGCAAATATTCCTGATCGTTCGCCACTTTTCCACCGACGAGACTCAACGAGGGGGTAGCCTCGGCCAAAACATGCTGGTATGTCCTATCGAACAGTGAGATGATCGCCTGCTGGGTACCTAAGCGGAAGGCACCCAACTGGGCGAAGGATGTCAAGGCAGAGTCGCGAGAGGGCACCGGCGTGAAGGTGGTATTGTCGGTTTGGTCGATAGGAGCGAAACGGGAGGAGGACTCGTCACTGGGAACATATCTATCGTGTACCGTTAGATGGACTCTCCCCACAATATCATGCTCCCGCGCCGCTAAGGTCAACTGACTTGAAAAATTCCTGTTCCTGAGCGGATCGGAAACGTGACTGCCCACCCAGACCTGCGATGGCAATCATCTTGTCTAGAAAACCGCCACACACCAATTGGTGGGGAAGGTGGCGCTGTCGAGCTGCAATAGCACTCGGTGAACTAGTGATAGGGCTGATATAGTCGATGATCACGGATCAGAGAAAACGAGGTATCTTCAGCCACTACTACTCAATCAATGGCTAGGTGGGAATTGGGAGAAGCGTGTTGCCCATCCGTATTTTATTGTTGCCATGATTTGGACCGGATGTGCATGACATCATGTCCCAAGGAACCACTGCCGTCATCTACACCGGACAATCCATACCGAGACAGGAAATGCCCCTGTGGGTGGATCAACCCCAGTCCGTTCGGACTTGGTTGGGATTTGGGTTGCATCCTTTGACCCATGGAACCATCAAACAAAGCAAGGGAAATGCAGGGGATGACCGACGTCAGTGGAAGAAACAATCTCGATCAGACGGTTCAACTTTCCATTCCAAGAGACAATTCAAGGAGAGAATGGTGGAATTGAAGGGAGAAGAAGCATGCCCACGTGACCGGGATGGGACGTGCAGGTGATCCACAAGCAAGTGACGTAATTGATCCAAACATAATTTTCTACATAATCTCAGCCTGGTTCTTTTGGTACTCCTCAGTGGTCTGTTGAATAGACTTGGATATCATAAGATGGATCAGCGATCGTCCTTATTGGTCACATAACTATCTTTAGGGACTGGATCTACCATGGTAGAGTCACGTAATTTAAACTCTTGATGATATATATATACATACATACACTGCTGTGTTCGTGACTACGTGCCATCGGCAAGTCTAAATGCTATTACATCGAGAGGGTCATATCAATGGCCATATTATTGACAGAATATACCCCCCCGCACAAGAATTTAGGGTTAGTTCAGTTGTTGCCATTAGCGATGGTGCAAGGAACTCTCATACTCTCGGGAATGCCCCTTAGATTAGCCATCCAGCAGTGACAACCAGGACCAGTTATTGCCAATGGGCAAAAGCCAACTTTCTTTCTGAAAGACCTGAATCGAAGTAGCCACTACTAAACTTAATGCGGAAGAATTGCGAGGGGTGTCCTCTATGTCATCTTGTGGTGTGTATAATCATGCTTATGATCATGCTTACAATGACCTGTCAAACAGGGGTAGTCTATACAGCATGAAAAATCATACACGGTCAATAACATAAGTTATGCCTATTATCAATGTGAGAGATATGAATAGCCTGCAGGATTGACTCGCACTGTCCTTCTGTGTAGCAAAGGATGCTTCTCTGACGTTGATAATGAACAATATGATCAATGGGGTTTGTCCTGAGGATAACTTGTGTTCATCTAAAAATTTGCCCTTTCTCTTGAGCAGACTGTGATCCTTGTTGATACATAGCGAGCCGCCCTGTACAGAAAGTTGCTTTTCTAGTATAAATATTTGTGTTCAGCCCTTCTTATTCATACCGCATCTATACCACCGAACATTATTTCCTTCAACCTATTATTCCATCTGCCAATCTGATTGTCAATTCAACTTCAGCTAAGGTAGTGCTCCCCTGCCCCCCTGCACCCAACTGAACATCAGAATCAAACTCAGATCACATTGCTGTCAAAGTTAATCAAGATGTCTGACGAATCATCCACATCCCTAGAGCCGTCGAATTCCAGAGCTCCCACGATCATGTTTCGCCCCGAAACTAGATACTTTTACACTATTCTCACCCCGGGCCTCGAAAACGGCTAAGTCTGGTATGTATGGGTGCCAATCCAAGGACAGCTCAATACTATTGTTACACTCACTCTGATGGCTAATTGTGTATCACATACTCGACGCGTCGACATGGTGCCGGACACGGTGTACAGCGAGGCCGAAAGAGGAGGCGTCTGGGTGGAGCACTTCACAGCACCCCATATACAAAGCGCCGATGTGATGCTGCGGCTGTATTCACATCTCAAGAAACACGTTGATGCGGTTAGGTTGGAATATGACATTGACTTGACGACGGGGCCGTACACTGCGCCTGAAAGATCGAGTTCGAGTTCTAGTGGCGGAAGTCCTTGACGACCCTAGGAGTCGCCTGCTGGGCCCATTATACATGTTGTTGGTATTAGAAAATGCAGGTTGGATTCCAGGATCTAGAGACATCTTTATCATGTGATGGCCGCGCTTATGGCCGTGATGTAGAGTGACCCGTGTAATCTCGTAATGGGCCTTGACACAGTCCATCGTGGCTGTGATTGAATACCTGATTGTGATTTCTTATCGGATCAGCGAAGAATGCCCCGACGAAGCAGATAATATTTCTTGATGACATGTTAGGCGTACCTTTTGTAGGCTGTTTGTCTTCTTTCGGATCACCTCGCATCTAGCACTGTCCGTGCCCGTGGCGTTAGGCGACAACCATCATCCGCAGATCCGCACCCAACCAACACGCTTAGAACTCTTGGAACCTGAATCTGGGCCGTCCCGTCGTATCTTCTAGTTGAGATTAGCGCTTATCGCTGCTTACAATAACACCTATGAAACGCATAAGACCAACACTTCTATATAAATGATGAATACCCACCGTTCCCTACATAGAATTCCACCCGATTCTAGGTCGAACCCATATGGCGCTCTGTCTTGCAAGCAAAGAAGCCTGATCAACCCATTCCGTCGTTGAAGCATGGAGGGGCGATGGGCGGAAGTATCACCTGGCCGGTGGGAGCGCCCTACGAGTGGCATGGAAGGGTATTTCTGCTTTACCGGTGAATTAACTGCGTCGGCCTGCGACGGCCGCGAGCATTACAGCATTTTCTCCACGCTTACTCTCGAGTTGGACTACCAGGACGTGGAATCGGCCTTGCGACATGCGTGGCAACAGATGCGATATGAACAGCCCCAGATCGCCACGACAGCGAAGGGAACAAAGTTTGTGTACCAGGTTCCCGATGAGGCCGCCCTAAGCCACTGGCTAGGATCTACGTTTGTTGTCTCCGATACTGCGAATTCCGACGAGCTCTACCATCAGGGAACCCCCTTCAAGCAATCGACCTTATACTGGCTCCCGCGATCGTCGGAGCTCGTGTTCCGTGCCCACCACCAGACCATCGACGGCACAGGGGTGTTGCTGTTCTGGCACCGCTTTCTCTGCGCGCTGACATCCCCCACTCAGCCAATCGAATTCGGTGACGAGCCGGCAAGACTGGCTCCGGTGATGGAAGACATCCTCGGCCTCGAGAGCAAATCGTCTGAAAAAGATGAGAAAGCACTCGGCGTGCTTTCGGAGTATATCAACAACGTCCCCGGCATCGGCCACACCTCCAGAGTGGGTTCTGCGCCATCCGGACGCAGTCGGGCTGCAGACCTAACCTTCTCGACGGCGAGGACGGACCGAATCGTCCGGGCTTGCCAGGCGCACGGCGTCACAGTCACGTCGGCCCTACACGCGGCATATGTCCAGGCGCTCACGAAACACGCGGACCCAAACTCGCAGACGTCACGGTACGTTAGTGCCAACCAGTTCAATTTGCGTCCGTACCTCCCCGAGCCCTACAGCACGGATAGGTACGGCGTCGCGGTGTATTATACCACTCATCCGTTCAAGCTCGCCTTACCGTCGACTTTCTGGGAGACGGCTCATGCGTTGCATCGCTACTATTCCACCTCATACAAGGGAAACCGGCCGCTGTTGGAGCTCAACGGCCACATCACGCGCGCACTCTGCAACATCGTGCAAACACCTGAGTATCTAACAGCCCCCGTGCCGACTGACGCGCTTGTGAGCAGCTTAGGAATCGCGGAAAGATGTCTGCAGCGAGAATATGGGGAGGGCGTGGTCGTCAAGAATTTGGCAGTGGGGGTGGAAGTCGTGCTAGGAATGAGTATGATGTTTTTCTATACCTTTCGGGATCAATTACGATTGAGGTACTGTTTCAATGAGGGATTTGAAAACATGACAGATGTTGAGCAGTACTTACAGGAGATGGAGACGGTCTTGGACCAGGAGTTATTGTCGTGATGGGGGCTTTCTCCTAGGGTGCACTCTGTCACCTGACTACGAGGCTGTCGGTTGTTTTTTCTTCTTCTCAACACTTCTCTTCCCCTCCTCATCATCATCACCACCACCACCACCACCACCACCACCACCACCACTCATCATCATCATCATCATCATCGTGACTGTCATTCATTCTATCAATTTCATCAATTTCATTGGCGTTCTATTACAAGACAATGGCCTAGGCTAGGGGTTGCCCTAAATACAACACATAGAGCTTGACGGACAATTACCCCCCCTAAACAAGCCCGGAGAGTTCATGAGCGTTGCTGTCCTCCCACTGAAGGTCCGCATCTTGAATCAATTTTGCATAAGCAGCATTCCGAGGCTTAATGTCGACCTCAAACGGCTTCGGATGAACAATGACACCGTTGGTAAGTTCGAGGGACAGGTCCACTTCCTTACCATTGCGGATAGGCTTAGTGATATTGAAAGAAGCTACGACCTGGGCGATACTGAGGAATAGATTCGCGTCCGCCAGCGTGCGACCAGGGCAAACGCGCCGTCCGTGTCCAAAAGTCAGATAATAAGGATCCTGTTCCGGGATATGGCCCTCCGAGTGCAGGAACCGTTCGGGCTTGAAGGTCTCAGGATCGGGGTAGGTGACCGGGTCGTGGGTAAAAGCCCTAAAGTTTGTTAGCCGGGGTTACCCCTGGCGCGATGGTTCTGCTCTAGTGGGTGGGGATAAGTACCAGGTATTCGGCATCACCATGGTGCCCTTGGGGATCGCATATTCCCCCCAAACATCATCACGAATCGAGGTGTGGGCAGCGCCCATTGGGAGGATCGGGTGCCAGCGGAGAATTTCCTTGATCATCGCGTTGATGTAGGGCAGGTTCTCGCGATCATCGAAGGTAGGCAGACGGCCGGGTCCGACAACGCGATCAATCTCCGCTTGCGCTTGGCCCTGGACCTCTGGAAAAATGGCCATAGCAAGAAACCAGCCTCTCAGAGTAGACACCGTCTGTACCGGTTAGCAACGGGTGGGCTATTTCGAGACGCACAAGAACAAGGGTGAACGTCTCACAGTATCAGCACCTCCACCATAAAGAACGCTGCTGGCCCATTTGACAACAATCTCTTCTTCCGACCCAGGCTTCGGTACACCCTCTTCCAATAGGTTGGAGAGGAAGGATGGCGTGTAATCGCCTTTCGCCATTCTCCCCCTCGTGAAGTCATACGGAACGGTGCTGAATGCGTGCGCGCGCGCTCGGAACGCTTTTGCCACTTTTGCGAACTGTGCACCGGGGAACCAGGCTGGGACGTGTTTGACTGGACGGCTCATTAGCCGATGATATCATGAAAGCATAGGAGGCGGCGATGTATACGGAACGGAAGGAAATCGACGGCCCAAGTGCCCGAAAGGAAGGCAAATGAAAAATCATCCATGGCTTTGTCTGCCAGGTCCACGAGAGGATCAGGCCGATGTGGGTCGACATTGTAGCCATATGCGATCTTCAGCACGATCCCACCGGCTTCCCTATTATGTGTCAAACACTGCGCCGGACGAAAGGCGGGGGCAGACTGACTTGCGTATATGTTTGGTCAAGTTCGCCGGATCTTCGAGTAAACGATACAACAAGCGCCGAACCTCGACTTCCTGCACTGAGCGGAAACCCGAAACGGACACATTAGACCCGACCTGGCGATGGATGGCTCTCCGGATTGCTTTGAACCGCGGGGAGTATTCGACACAGCCAAGCATCTTATCCCAACCCGATCTGGGACTAGTTAGCGCTAGCCATTTGCGATCCGGGAGAGAATTACAAGCTGGCAAAATTCATGTGCGGTCGGGAGGAGTAGGTCAGGGAGCGTCTTTCGAGGAGTTCGATGGCGAGATGCATGTCATTAATGATGACAATGTTTTGACCGCTGACGGTCAATGAGCTGATGGGGCCTGTCGCCGTGAGTGTATGAATTTGAGTCAGGGATATCGGTCGCCGTACCGTAGAGGTCTTTGTGCTTGAGCCAGTGCTCCCATGGCTTCGCTTCATGGGACGGTAAGTCGTTCAAGTTTCCTACAAAGGGCTTCCGAGGAGGACCTGGAGGAAGCTTTCCCAATGTCGCTTTCTGCTTGAGGGATGCCTGGAAAAGCCATTTCAACAGATACAGACCCGCGGCAGTGATCGCGACCGTGATCACGGGTGACATAATCGTGGATGTTTACAATCCCAGTGGTTGTTGAGGATCGAAAAAATATCTCAGGGAACATATCTGGTCCCAGGAGACAGACTTAGCTTTGAGCAAAACCACCACGGCAGGAATCACTGCGGGGTTGCGCACCGTGAGTTATTGCCACTTATTACGCGACCGGACTTGACCAGATCTGTACGTGGATCAACGACACCACCATCTTGGACTCCCGTACTCTCATTGGGAATGGTTGATTGCATCGGATTGAGACCCTTGTCACAAGAAAAAAAGCTATGGTGACAGCCCGGTCCGGACAGGATGTGACCTGTCTAGAGACCCACATTAGTCAATCATTGCCTGATAGAGGAGTTGGCGTGTGTCCCCGCCGTTCAGTCTCGGGTGGAGAGACGGAACGGAATCCCCGAAATAAACGGCGCACAAGTGATTGGTTGTTTCCATGTGTTTTGGCCAAAGTGTGGCTTCAACGGGTGAGGAAAGCATCTTGATCTAACGAAGTAGCAAAGTCAGTCAGGCTTCCGGATATCACATCATGTACTTGTTAGGTGTGTTACCTATAGCTCGAACATAGCGCCAATCACGGCCCATGCAACCTCAAAAAGCCGGTGCTCTCCGAACACCAACTTACTCGCATTGCATATTGTATCTCCTTTCAAAGTACTCGACTGAATTCCAAGTCTCAGCTCGCCGGGAAACTTGGCATGACGCTCCCGGTCTATGGGACCTCGAGAAAGCTGTACGCAGCGGCACACGTCCAGTATCTCCCCCCGATCTTCTCTTTAGCCGCCATGTCCAAGCGACAAAACGGTTCCACCTCATTCTTGTAACTCAACACAGGGAACATTCTGCTGAGATCACCAAACTCTCCTCTGTTGGGTATCATAACTAGACGTCCAGGAGCCGTCTCTCCAGGCTAGCGTTGACCAAGCCATCGATCATTGGGGCGTCGGATTCTCAAATTTGTGATCATTTTCGTTCGACGCGATGGCGTTTGGTTCCTAATCCTCCACTTGAAACATTTTCGAGCAACATTGGAATCTGGCCACTGCCCCGTCGCAATGCGGCCGTCCCTTTTTAGCGGCGAGCGAAGTCTATCGTGTCCCGAGATCGCCGGAAGACGGTCATGATAGCCACCCACGTACCCCAAATTCTTATTGGTAGACTCGAGCGGGCCCGGTGGGCTCTCCCGAAGCTCGCTCCGCCACGTTAGGACTGGCCGGCGTGAGAGTCTCGCGAGTCGCGACGCCTGTGTCAATGGGGTCGCTGAAACTCCTGGCGAACGACCAAAACTTACATTCATACTCGAGATTGTCGATGTAAGTAGGATCAGCTGGTGGAACTAGGAAACGGGCTTTCGTGTGTGTGCCTTTGACAAATGCTGGATGCCAAGGAGGTAGGAGATAAAGGGCTTGTCGTTGGGTATTTTCACGCCCCACATTTTCCTTTTTGCTTTCCCCGATGGCGTCGGTTGGTGAATAGGATAGGTTGGTAGCTCATCTATTTGGGAATAGAGTGTTACCATGTAGGGTGATGATAGACACCCCACCCGCTATGAACGCGAACTCAGGAGGATTACAAACCACGTGTAGTGAGTGAGTCCCCTGTTCGAACGATCAACAGCATGAACCAGTTTAACTTGGACTTGGGCATCCCTGCTATGGCAAAGGAGTCAGCAGGCCTATTGCTTGAATACGTGCCGGGGTCGGGCTCGCAGGGTTGTGACCCGAAAGACATTTAGGAATATCTCACATGGGGGGTCCTTCCATTCTAGGCTCAAAGCTTGACACCACTCATGTTCGGGCCATTTGATTTTGGCGGAGCGGACGTCCAGTACCTCGCCCCCTCGAGAAGGTGGATACGGGCAGTCCCACCCCCCGAGACCGTCTCCAGAACTATGCCCAGGATCGACATCCTGTCAGCATTAGTTCTGTCTTTGTGGGGAGCTGAGCTGACATTAGCATTTCTTTGTTTGGCCGCAATTGAGGAACCATGCCAGGATGGGGCTTCGGGTCTGAGGGTTCTAGCGACCACGGACACTTCCATCCCTATTTTACAGGCGTGGGCTCCAACTGTCTTGGGACATGTTTCCCATGGTCGGAATACGTACGGGGAATGGTGTTAGTCCATGTTGGAATCGGGAATGTGGATTACTTAGACTCAATGACGGTGTCCACGCTAGTCTTCGGGCTGTTAGATTCCAGCATGTCCTGAAGTCAACTGAAAGACGGACGACTGAGCCTACTGGGCCTAGGAGCATACATGTAATTTATATGCGGTGAGTATTCCGGTACGCAAGAAACTCGGCCGAGATTTATGAATTTATGAAGACGGTTGGTGAATCGTTTAGTTATGTGAGTTCCTTCTTTCACGAAGTTTTGGTTGTCTAATATAAGATCAATATGCTATCAGTTCTAGTCCTGATTCACAAGCCCTTCGGTCTTATATAATAATGTCTAATTGAATATCAAATAACCCATTCCCAAAACCAATCCCTACATCTTCTTTACATGACCTGATATGGAAATTTGGTGATGAGTGAATATGATGAACATGTGATATAGTGCCTAGCGTCTTATTATTTCAAATGCTAGAGCTCCAATGTCGGAGAGCAGAAACTGATAGTACTACAATTGAGCTGACAGCCGTTTGTCTTTAACTATAGCTTGAATTGGTTGTGATATTGCCCGCGATGGATCATCCCTAGCTCCATTCAGGTCCACTTCTCAGGAGAAGTGGCCATAAGACAATGGTCAAAGCTCTATACATCTCTTCCACATCAGCTATACGCAACATCTTTTATAATTTATCTCCCTAGAATGTATTTAAATACCAATCCCAGTATCATGCATTGCAAATGATTCTAATACAGCACGAAACATCAATCGTGACCAGATTATAGACTCCATCAGGCACGATCCATTGTTTAATCGACTCGCTCATCCACGAGCCTATCAGTGGACACAACCCTCGTTCCCAAACACCGCTTTGGAAGCATCGACCCAGACACTCTCCTGCGATAAGATATTTTCCGCTGTATAGAACCTCCGGCATCCCGCAGGCTCGTAGGTGAATTGCATCGGCAACTGGTCATCATCCGGCGAGAATGCGTTCTGGAGGTTGACAGAAGCCTCCCACGCCACGCCGAGCTGGGGAAATGGTATGTTCGGAAGCGTCTCATTCCAGGATTGCAGTTCGTCCTTAGTCAACAGGGGCGAGTCCGTGCCAGAGGAGCCGACGGCCTTTTCATAAGACCGAGTGACCAGGCGCGACAGACCTGTAAGACTGGAACCAATGCCACCCCTCACGGCACCGATGGTTTGCATTTCGGCCTTCTGGGGCCGGCCGCCAAAGGCAATACTCTTGACGTTTTGTTCGAGCATGAGCTCGGCGAACATGGCGCAGGCCGAACCGCACATGCCGTCGGAGACCTAATGAGGTTAGCAAAGTTCTAAATGTGATCTTGTGGACGCGGAACCATACAAGAACGATGTCTTCGGCCTTGAACGGAGCGGTTTTCGGATCTAAGGGAATTGGTCCATATCCGCTAATGGGTGACCGCTCTGTCGAAAGCAGCTTCGTATTGGTCGTAGATATCAGCGTCGTTGAATTCATCCCAACCGTCTTGTGCGGCCCGTAGAGCCTTTGCCATGACGTGATGTTATGTTCCAGATCCGGCGTTACAGCTTCTCCAGCCCTGTTTATATATTGAAGGTCTCTCTCAATAATTCCGTCGTCCGAATCCCCGTTCAAGGATATCTTTCCGAGAAGGTTGAGGCCATGGTGCGCACGGTATCGACTAGCGGTGTAAGGCAGCTTTTCCGGGAAGAACATCTTGAAAAGATCAAGCGAAGAAGTGATGGCCCCACCGCTGTTGCTAGAGATGTCAATAATCATTTTGCTTCTACCTTGTGCCGTCGCATTTTTAATAAGGTCTTTAGCTGCCCGTGAAAAACTTTTTGCGTAGATTGTCCCGAACGTTGGGACCGACAGTACGGCGACGTCCTTGAGTGCCGGGTGGTCAGGAAGGTACCCGGTAATTTCATCTCCTTCGGAACGAGTGAAAGGCTCTGGATATCCCTCTAGTGGCATCTTTTTGGCTGATCCAATCGACTCAGGTGTTGTGGTAAAGTTCTTTGTGGCGTTGTTGCCATCCACGCAGAGCTTATCGTACAAGGAAGGGCCGTCTCGCCAGGGGAAGTGGGTGAGCGGTGTCAACAGTTCAGCCTGTGTCTCCACCGTAATTACCGTGCCGTTCTTAAGCTTCAACGTATGAGATGGACCTGGCCACAGTCGATTCTGTGCCCAGCCTCCGGTACCATTGGACCTGGCGCCCAGTGTGTGTGCATTTGACGGGAAAAGATTGTTGTATCTGGATAATGTTAGCATTTTTGGTACCTTAGTGTCTCGGGAAGGCAATCAAAGAGAAACATACAGAGCGTCCGGATCGTGTGCGTTGTAGCCATTGTAATGGACGACTTGAGAGAGTTTTGCTAGATACTCGCTCACGTCCACTCCATCGATGGACGTAACTGGAGAGACATGCTCAACGCCGTTCTGTTGTAGCTCGCTGTCATCTAATATCATTAGCAATGCCTGGGGGGTACACGGCGAAGTGGAGTAACTCACGATGTGTGTATACTTCCGGGAGATCGATCCCGTTCTTCGATATGGACACAAGAGGATAGTCGTTGGTGAACTGGACAACATTGATCGAGCACATTTCGACAGAAAGATGCTCATCGCGTGCGGCTAGGATTAACTTCACAACGTCTGAGTCGAAATCAAACTGGCTCCGGTAGACATTTTCCACTGCCTTCTTCTTGATATCGTCCAATCCGGCTTTGAGATCGATGCCAGGCACTGGATACGCGGGTGGAGGGTCTGCTCGTAGTTTAATGGGTCGCACGCGGTGAACACCTCGTTTCCATCCATCCCTTACCTCGCAGAATATCAATATTGGACTGGAATTCGAGCCACTTCCCATACTGGTCGAGAAAGGTCACGGCGGGGTCGGATTTGAACGGGATCGACTGAAGGCAGTCGTAGGCCACATTGCCGGAAATTTTTGAAGACGCTGACCCATCAGCGGCTCGTCATGGCACTAGGAAGGACAGACCTACGTACGTTGGTTCTCCTTGGCGGCCTTTTCAATGAGGTCACCCAGCAAAGCGCAAGGTTCCTGATGCTGCGGGGCCGCGGACCCGATACTCGGGAGGCAAAGTGAGAACAGGGCAAGGTTCAAATATTTTGACATGGTCACGAAGCTTTAGTATGCTGAGGTCAAACTCGACTCCTGTCGGCCATGCATGCTTATATATGTATTATCTGTTTCCAGCGGTCCATCAGCTTATCCGGCCGTGCTGCTTACTTCCCCGCCTCAATTATCATGGCAATACAGGTCGGCTGTGAACGTACGATCGTCAATCATTGATGGGATACTGGCCACAACAAGCGCGGCCAAATGTCGCTTGGCTATGTTAGTGTGGGGGGTAAGAATCATTATCGTGAATTTTCATGTCGTCAGCGACACTAGTTCGGGATAGTGCGAACAGTAGTGAGGTCGGAAGAAGCCTGTGGTCCCAGGCACCAGCCTCATGCTCCCCACGGAGTTGGTTAGTGTCCCGGGGTTTACAAGATACTGGAACTGGATGAGATATAACTGATAGTGTTTGGGAGGTTCAACTCATCAGGGCTCTTAGTGTCACCTGACCCTTCTTTATATGTGCTTGCGCCGTTAACTAGCCACATCTCAAAATTCCCACAGGTATTTTGGATATTTTCCATGTTATAGACGTTGAAACCGCGATGGAATACGAATCCCGAGAGCTAGCAGTCACCGACATAACTCAGATCAGTCTTAAGAGCCACCAGCAGGCTTGCCGTATCGTCTATCTTATAAATCGCTAGAAAACAAGTCCAACACTGGCTCACTTTTGATATCCCATGGGTCTTACTTCATGAGGTAAAAGGTGGAGCAAAAAGCACCTCCGATCACGAGGCTGTGTTCATCTCTAGGCAATACTTCTTGGGGCTTGTTCATGGGACACTGACAAGGCTCTCACAGACCTCTTGCGAGCACGGAGTATTATGAATCAGAATCTTAACAATGAGTAATGTGCCTAATGATGACAATGTAGCTTTACCACTACGTGACCTTGTCTGCTACTCTTCTAATTTCAAGAGCTGTGGTGGATGACTTGCAAGGCAGGCAGTCCAAAAAAAAAAAAAAAAAGATAAGATATGAAGATTATGGACAAATAAATAGACAGATAAGAAACGAATCACATCAATGAAAAACGACAAGAAGCAGAGGGCAAGGAAGAAGAATAAGAAGAAGACAACAGTTTATGGACATCCATAGCAGGGCATGACATATCATACCCCAAACAGGAAAAGTAACCGACTCCACCGCGGGAACAATTCACCACTCCTATATCACACCGACACCACGCACAGAGTACATACAAGAGATGTGAGTTCAACCAGCGTACGCGTCTGCCTTTTCCGACTAAATAACGCTGCCTGCATAAGCCAGCCGGTTCATGGGAAATTTCGTGCCAGTCGGATAGTGGTCGGGCCCCAAGATGGGCATATGATAGACTCCGCCACCTGCACTCCAGGCAAGGCTGTTGCGCGGTTTAAGTTTTGGGGGCTATATTTAGATCAACGTCGGATGTGAACGGTGTACTCGAGAACAAGGTAGAATAATTCGACATGATCATTAATCTATTTCGGATCTGAGTCGTGGGCTACCAGGTCGGGAAACCACTATATTGTGAATGGGTGAGCCGTGGTTGCTTTATATATATTGACCCGATCCACATCCTTGGATCATAACAACTCTGGCTCTTGAGATCTGTACCAGGATTAATTAGGTAAAATGTACTGGAACGATAATTCTTACAACAAAGACAATACTATCAACCCCGCCATTCACCCAACCAGCACCACGATCCATACTCCGTAGTCGCCAAATAAATCATACAAAGAATGGGACATGACGAATGCCAAGGCCCGCCACGACCGGTAAATTCAGGGACGATCAGCGCCAAGAAGACACGGCGAGGAGACCGCGTGGCCCGACAAGCCCCCTAGCGCAGCCACTGCCGTCATTTCCGCCTTAATTGCACCACCGCGATCTCCAGACCAGACGAGGGATTCCACGCTACGACATACAAGCTGATTATTTCATGAAGATGATAGTAATGTTGGTATTTGTATTAAGTCATATCGATACACTGTGCATCATGCAAAGATCAAATCTAGAAACCAAGGAAAATAGAGAGCAACATAAGAAAAAAGGTTCCCATTATCATCACATAGATCGCTGACGTTATGTTTATTCGTCACGCGTCTATGCTAGCTGTCCAGAAGAGACCAACCCATTTAGAGGGCGAGGACAACGGCCAGCATACCGGCGGCACCGGCAACACCAGCGGCCATGCCAGTGGGGGCAGCAGCGGCGTTGTCGGAGGCGGAGGGAGACTCCTTGGAGTCAGCGGGGTCGGCAGAGCCGCCCTCGGACTCGGAGATCTCAGTGGGCAGGACGGAGGCAAGCTCGGGGAAAGCGGAGGTAGCCTCGTCGACGACGGAAGAGGCGTAGGCCTGAACCGAGGTGGGCAGGCTAGAGTACCAGCCGGGGGCGCTGTTGCTGGGCCACTGGCTGAAGAGAGAGGCGGCCTTCTCGGGGTCGGCAAAGGCAGCGGCGACGGAGGAGGGGACGGCGGTCACGAAGGCCGACTCGATGCTGGGGGGCACGCTGGCCAGGGCGGGCACCTCGGAGGCGAACTCCTCGGGGGAGATGTCCAGGTCGAGGTCGTCGAGGAAATCGGCGGCGTCCTGGCTGGGGGAGCTACCGCTGGGGCCGCTCTGGCTCTGGGCGAAGGCCAGGCCGGAAGAGGCGAGGAGGATGGCACCGACAGTCTTGAAATGCATGGTGATGGTTTGGTGGTAATTTGAGAGAGGGTTTTAATTTATTTTTTTGTGAATTGGAAGTCTCTTGTCTGAAGGCACGGAGAAGAATAGAAAAGGAAGAAGGAGGAAAGCTGGGGGATGGGACTTTAAGTAGCCATCGACAAACAGGTTTGCCTGAGATCACCCTGCCAAGAGGCTGAGGCGGCGTGTCGTGGTAATTGTGTTTGTTATTTTTGGAGCATCACAGTTATCATGGAATCAAGATGCTGAGCCTGAGAGGCTCCGCCTCCGTCGGCACGCTATCATCACTACTAAAGCCTGATGGAGTAAGTGATCTCGACTGTAGAGTTAAGGATGGACCCAGCAATACCCAATCACACTCGCCACTCCGTAGACCGACTCCATCGATGGAAGAAGAGGAAACGACGGGTCAGATCATGGTCCTATCCAGGAAAGTAAACGGAGTTCCACGAGAAGGATCACATTTCGATAGAGGACTAGAAAGATCAAGCGTTGTCTAACCCCTGAGACACGGTGATCAAGCCGGGTTGTTGTGTGAGGCAGGTATTGGGATGATCGTGGAGGATGCGCGGCCAGGTCCACAGCTGCTAAGCCCTAACAGTCCTGAAAGTCATCATTGCCAATACAAGGATATCAAGGAGACCAACCACCGCCGTGCAGTTGTTGAATCCGATGGGTCGGGACCCACTCCACGGTCTTGCCAGCGCCCCCCTGGCCGACCCACAGACACTCCCCCTCAAAGTCTACGCCCGCATATTACGGGACGACGGGGATTGTGGATGCACATATAACATATCTCATTGGCTAAATAACACCGCGGATGGTAAACAGCGGCTACGAGGTCGGCTCCATTGTTGGGCCGAAGGATTGATCAGACCGCACTCGGTCGCTCCCCATTCAAGACTGCCTCAATCTGATCCAGCTCTTTCTCCCACGGTTCCATGGGCTCCGGGGCGTGATCAAAGGGGTCCTTGTTGGGACCCTCTACGTCGATATGCACGTCGTCGCGTAGTTCCATAGTACCCTGCCCGATCGGACTGCCCAGGTACTCCAGCAGCCCCGGGCCGGCCGCCGACGGGCTATTGGGGTCGCGGTACACCTTGACACCGTACTTTCGGCCCTTGCGGAAGAAGAATGTCGTGAGGTCGATTGCCGCGTTGGTCGTCGGGAAGGGCTGCATCGTCACCTCGCGGAAATCGGTCAGCGTCAGGATCAGGCCCTCGGACAAATGCTTGTCAACCACAGCGGAGAGGTCGCGATCGAGACGGACATTGTTCGCCGAGAGGGCCGCGTTCGGTGCTTTTAGTAGCATGTGAGAGAGATGTTTCTGTTCCGCCGTTCCGTAGAGATAGAACGGCATGTAATGACGAGGATAATCGGGTTCGCGGTTGGCCGAATTCAGCGGTCGGCTTTTGATCACGCGTGTCACGGTCACATCACAAGTGATGCTACCAGGGGTGCTGATCTTGTCAGCGTTGTCACTGTACAGGGTACTGTTGGGGTAGGGGACCTACTTCCTAACGCCGATGGAGCACTTTAGAGTGGGATTCTCTTTGTTCAATGCCCGATTCACTAGATCTTCCAAGTGGATATTCTCCACAGACGTAAGGGTGATATCCTCCTCAGGATTCTCCCCTTTCAGCTTTACATAGCTGGCTTTGGAGGCGGTGTCCAAGCTGGCAGAGAAGATAATCTGCTGCCGTTGTGTAGCCTGGTGGAAGCAGGTCACAAAATCGAGGAACACCTCGTCGGTGCCTCGCAGCAAGAACTCAACTTTGCTGTTGCCCGGTTTATTCCTAGGCCAGCATCGTTCCACTACCTCGTCCTTGATGATATCTTGGAAGTAACTCATCAACTGCCCAATAAAGTCCCGCTCCGTTGGAAAGGGGCTCATGACCACGTTTCGTAGTACCCACAGGTCCTGCGGGGCTTGGTCCAGGTGCAGCCGCTTCATAAAATGCAGCGCGCATTTTCCGTAAAGCTCAGGGGTGAATTGGGTGGACGTGAGGTACAGGGGAATCTTTCGGGGGTCTTGGTCCGCACTAGTAATGCTGAGTCGATTCACCACGCGTCGCATCAGGTAATTTGCCTCCTCGATATCGTTGTTGAGGGTGCCGTCCTCTCTATACCAATTCAGGGCGAAAGCATTGATGTTGAGATCCGAGCCCAACTCACGCATGTATTTCATAATTCTTTCGTTTTGGCTGATGTAGTCATTGTCCTTCCTGATGATATGCTCGAGGATTGCTTGTCGCCGCTCATCAACTTCGGGAGACAGAGAGTCAAACCCAAGCTTTTCCAGCGGAAGGCGGTTGAACGGGATACAGATGAAGTGCTTCTCAGTCTGCGCGTGGTGCATGGCAGCATAGTGTGCAGAGAGCTGTGGTTGTCAGTGATAATTGCAATGCTAATCAGGGTAGAATCGATATTGCCTACCCGGGCACTCGTGAAAGCGGCCTCCCCAAGAAGACGACCATAGCCGGTCTCGTTCAAGCCAATGGTCTTGTTGGACAGCCATGTCGCCATCGCTGCCGCTCCGGGCTTGCTGCCTTCGACCCCGTAAACGCCAATGCTCTCTAGAGATCCCTGCGTCAGATACGGCGACGTCCAGGTGACAAGGAAGCGCATTCGACCGTCCCTATATGTCAAGGCCCCGGCCGGATATGGAATATACCCGGCCTTGTGGGGATCAACTGTGATACTGTCGGCATCCTTTAGGGCCAGAAAGTCCGTCAGGGTATCTTCACGGAGTGCAAGGGATGGAACCGTCTCAACGGCCTTGTGGCCTCCGCCCCCCCAGTACGGCTCCTTCATCACCTTACGAGGGATCATTGTGGCAAAGTATCCCCCCCATGCTGCATCTGCATGGACAAGAAACGACAAACCCTTCGTGCGGAACTTTTTGCGGAGATCAATAATCGAACTTAGTCGGTCGGCCGCGCCCTCCTCCGTGCTGCCCATAATGGCCACGACTGCATACACCGGCTGCCGCTCCTCGAGACATCGATTCAGCTCGCGCTCAAGATCATCTATATCAATGTGACCATCCAGATCGAGTTCAATACCGTGCATGTTTCCGGAGCCGATGCCCGCGATAGCTGTTGTGGTCAGACATAGTTCACTATCGGGGATTGGATAGACATACCACCGCCTTTCGGCCAAGAGTAATGGCGGGTCTTTGCGTGGAAGTACTTCCCTGGTTTCTGAATGTCGAAACGGCGTTCAAGGGCGTCCTTGCCAACGGTTTGGATATTGTACTTAGTCAGAATATCCTCTAGGAACTTGTTTGTAATCCCAAAGTCTTGATACAAAGTATCAGCCATTCCTAGGATGACCTTGGGCGGGAGGTTAAGGAGTTCCCAGACGCTGAGGTCGCGGAACAGCTTCTCCTCGCCGACACAAGTGGTCACTGAGAAGCGATCGGCGATGAACCAGAGCGAGTCTTCCTTCATCGCCTGGTACAGCGAGAGAGGGTAGAACTTGAGATTACGTGCTGCTCCTTGTCAGCAACTGAGCGGATCCGTGGAATACGCGACACATACCAACCCAGATGGATTCCAAGTTGGCTACCGTGCCATCACAAGTGATGTGTCCCCACGCGGTTGGTACATCCTCCTTTTGGGGGTTGATGTTATACCCGAACATCTCACACAGCTGCTGTCCTGCTTTCAACTCTGCCACTGTCGTGAATGGACTCGCCTCGACTGTGACATTGTTTGGGTTGTATATCATAGTCATGGCGTAGCCGAGGAGGCCGGGCATTGTCAGGTCGGTGCACATGTGCCCCTCGTAGCTACGAGATCACGATCAGGTATGCTCTTTAAGAAAGCTCTCAAACCGGGGATGAAAAACATACCGAGGGTGCCAGAACGGGATGGAGTGCTTTCCAAGGAGCTGAGCCGCCTTCCTCACCGCGGCATTGAAGTTGACACGGATCTCATTGAAAGTGGCCGAGTCCCGGACTTCCTGGGAAATGAAGTCCTATCACAAAGTCAGCTATTGCCTCTCCAGAGAGGTAGCTGCGGGCAGGCGTACACCATCACTTTCGTGGTAAGCCTCTCGCGCTTTCTTGAGCTCGTCTAGGATGGTGTCGAGATTGTTTTTGAAGTCCGGGAGGTTCTCAGCTTTGGGGCCAATGAAGTAAGAACTGATCACATGGTGGGGATTGACGGCCCCAGTAGACGATGACATCTTCAGAATTCGCGAGGGATATTATTTTTCAGTGTTTATCTTGTCGTTTGAGCAAATGACTCTGTTGATGAAGCTTTTTCCTCGTAGTATTTCCGTGACCTTTTTCGAAATATATATGCTCTAGTTGCCCCCTCTCAAACTAAGACGCGGGGAAAAAAAGGACTGCCAAGTGGCAAATTGATGCTCAGCTGAAGCAAAGGTATATGTTAACATAATGCAGCACGATGCAAGCCACGAGCAGCATGCCCAGCCAGGCTGTTCCTCTCTGCAGTGAATTTGAGCCTGGATCAGCCAGCCACTGTATCTTCCCCACCTTGAGCATTTTGCTCTGTAAGAAGTACGTCGTTGTTTGCTACTAGAATGAAAGATGTTTTGAAATTGGGCAGAAATGGCGAAGGTAGCCGTATACTTGCATTTCTATCCTGACAAGTTTCCTGCAACGATTGCGGAACAATGCCTATTGGCGACAGACAAGGCCTTTGGCCCCAGCCAGAACGTCTGCACAGTCGTGGCTTCCAGGTCATGCGGTGCAGACCCGCGTCCCAGAACGCCAGAAAGGCAAAGAGGTTCCTGCGATCGACCATAAAGTTCAACGGGGCGCACGGTGGCAGACTTTATGAACACCATAGTGGCCACCTTGATCAGGCTCGTTGACTTGAAACGAAAAAAGGCTTGACAAGTACTAGTGACCATGAACCCATTGTCATAGCTTCGCGCGCTAATTTCGTGGAAGCCTCTAGATGAGATGCTCACGGCTCCTGCCGCTCACTTCGATCGACGTCTCCGGGCCGACCAGACAATTGACCGGCATCACTAGGGCGGGATGCAGATGCAGTCCGCTAGCCGAGCAGCATATACGAGACAGGGTAGTTGGCTGAAGTAGATTTTGTATGAGGAGTTGCGACGGAATTCCCAATCATTCTTCACCACACCTACGGCTGAGGACGCTACCCCGCTTCTGGCTGCACCGTGACAAACACCCAAGCTCTGGTGGACCCCCATGCAGCAGCTGAGGGTGACGTGGTCGCAGCAGACGTGATCGCAGCAATTGCAGGCATGCATAGCATAGCTGTTCAAGTTGTAGATGCTGATTGTAGGGTGCTGCCCTGTCGATGGAAGATCCCATCTACCATTTGATGGGCTATGGGGACCCAGTGTTCCGGTGGGACTGACTAGACCGGTTGGATCTTGGTAGAGCGAGCGAGCACCAGTCACTCGAACGCATCTGGGCGCATGGAACCTTTAACTACTAGGTGAGAGCAGAATGAGAGTAGTCTAGGAACAGATTTGTTGCTGAAGGTGTTTCAGGTCCCCACCGCCTCGTGCAGATGTGATCCTGGTTTTCGTCAGTAGATGGCAGCAGAAGGCCAAGGTTGACGGTGGAGAATTACCTAACAAATGCTCTCAAAATGTATTCTTAACATAACGTGGCATGGTTTGGAATGCTTCCTCCATTCGAAGAGAAGCTTCGGGCATTCGTCCCCAAGGATTATGGTCCAGTGGCATCTGATACACGTATGTTGAACCGGATGGGTGCCCTTTATGTGGAGGATGAACTCCTCCCGAAATCATAATGAGTTCGAACCCAAAGCTAGGAAATGGAATGACGAGAGTAGAGAAGAGGAGTGAAAGAAGTGGTGGAAGATGGAAGAGGATTCTATGGAGGTCACCTGACGGGCGATGTGGCATGCCATTCTGTCCGAGCATCCAATATCTCTTCTCTCAACATTTTAATCACAACAACTGCAGGAGTCTGGAGCCTCTCGAGAGCTTTGAACACACCTTGACGATGGGTTATTGGGACATATCCCTGTTCCATGTGCAACAGGAGGCCAGTAAAGGTTCGGCCCCGCCGCGATGTCATTCGGTTACCAGATTGAGCCTGGCTGTGTTTCGACTGGAGCGCTGCGTAGCTGTCATTGCCTGAATCTCTTCCAACAACTTTCATAAACGCGATGCCTCTGTAACAAAAACCATTGCCTCGGGATACACGACCGTTGTGGTCACCGATTCGACCCAACCACGAGCATGGCCTATTTGGAAGTTCTCATATCAACTCCCACCAGCAACTTAGGGACCTAGGGTAAAAAGTGGAGCTATCGTCGGCCGCAATGAGTTACCTGTCTCTCCTTATTCTAAGGCATAGATCTCGATAACAAAAAAGGATTGACGGCTCAAGCGCGGTGGGCATCAGACTGGGGTCGCCTGATTTCACACAGCGTGATTCTCAAACGCCTGGGATACCACCATCCGACGGGGCAGAGTTCTCCGTACATGCATGTCGGTCAATGGTAGTGTGACTACAGCATCTTCCATGCTCGAGGATGTGAGTATTGGTTTGTATCTAGGGTCCTGTCTTGCGAAAAAATCCCGCACAATCCTCGGAAGACGATTGTACATATTTGTTTACATCCGCGGGTGGTAATTTAAGTAAAGTTATAAGGTCGGACGGCTGACTTTAGGTCCCTGTCCCAGAAGGACAGCCACTCTGGACTTGTTTCGGTGTGGTGGGATGACAACATGATCATGAACTTTGAGCTCGAAACCTTAACCCCGTACAAGGCTTCCGATGGTGATATCTGGAATTATCAGTCACTGCCTATTCCGAGCTGTTATGTCCTAATGAAAGACCTCTGGTTTTATGAATATGCTTGTTCTCACGGTAGACCTCCCCGAGTTGGATCTTTTGAGACTGTTAGTATTGTGTAGTAGCAGGCAAGTCATCAACTGTTTTACCATCCCGGAGGGTGTGTAATCCTCATCCCCTCATTTCCTGAACAGTCTAGAGCTCGAGGGGCGAGTCGCCTTGGTCACCGAGGTTGCCGGGTTCAAGGGCCAGGGAGCCAGTACTGCTCTTCTTGAATCCATGGTCAAAAAATGATAAACAAGCATAACCCTGTAATACAATTAACTGCGCCGGAGTCCAGATATTGGGCACACTGTCCAACATTACAATTGGAGAAATAGACAGGCTACCACGCATCAACACAACAGTCAGTGTTTTCGTCGCCCGAGAGTCCATCAAATAATGCGAGAACCGACCCGAGCGACCGTCGTATCGGCGGAAGATTATCAACTTCGCCAGTATCTTCAGCTTCCGGGGTGATGTAAAGAGTGTCCTGCACCCGACCAGCACGGGGGCAGTGTTAAACAGGAAACGGGGGATAAGCAACGAATGGGCGCCGTATGTCTCTGCCTGATACTGTCGGTGCGTGTTGTAAGCACCGCAAGGCTGACTCGAACAGTTGTGGGATCTGCGTCAATTTCATTGCGCCGGATTATACCGAGTGTCAGATGACGGAGAAAGAATACGACATGGAGGTGGTCGATGGAAAGTTCAATAGTATGCTGTCAGCGAAGCTGTGGGGAGAATTGAAGGATGTCTCCGCCGCATGTGTTCATCTCTCCAGTCCGGCCCGCCATTATGTCACTTGGACTTATTTTTTCGTCGATGGTGGAGTCCTTGGTAGAGGTTCATAATTTCTTGAAACATTGTGATCTTGTGTTCACATAGCCACCACCTCCAAATAACACCAGGCTGTGCTCCTGGCGGCAATGAGATTGATTGTAATAATTTCAGCGTGTCCTTGCTCGACAATCCCAGTGCCGGCGAAGTGGGATCTTATAATGATGTCGAATCTCCAGGCATCGGAACCAACCCATGGCGAAGAATCAAAAAAACAATTCAACAATTGAGCTAGACGTACCCAACGATTGATGCGGGGACTTGCAATAATATATAAAGCAACAAAGCCCATTCTTCAGGGGAGAAAGTTAAAGCATGTAGCTTACTAAAATAGTGCTGATAGAGCCGTTTTGAAATTCTGACTGCCAAGATAGGCGCACTCCATGGCTTGAAACGTATCATAGTGTATCATTATTCTCGACAAATACAGAATAGATAATTCCAGCGGAGAGGCGCATGACGGGGCTGTTAGGTACATGTAATAGGCTATTGACATGTTGCGAAATCCAACCTTAAACAGTGACCCGCATCCTTGATATCTATCACCACGATACTCAATCCACTCCATATCATTGCGGTCTCTGGTGAAGGACTCGGATATAACGAAACCCATGTATACGTTTCGAATAGCAGAATAATTAACGATCTCTTCTTTCTATTCTCTACTAATATAGTGGGACCTAATAATCGACCAGCTATGTCTACCCTTCGTTCAATAAATCATCATGATGTATTATCCACGCTTTCGTATGTTGAGGATTAGGGTACAGCCACAACCGCAAAGCCTACGCAAGCCTTCTAGTAAAGTCCCCAGAGATCCACGTAACCGATAATTTTGACATGGGTTGATATGCCCCCGTCTCGCGCGAAGCATAAATGTGAACGCTAGATCTGACTGGTAGCCCCTTAATAGGTACGTGTGATTTATCGACGAGAAGGATGGTCACATGGGACAGCCATCTGATCCTGTTCCCTGATCTACACTAGCCAAGGGCAGGGGCAGGCCTGAGGAGCAATGCCAAACCCGATATCTCGTCCTGTTCCGTCCCCTCCTAGGTATTATTCATTGTCCTTCCCATTCCGGCAATCATTAGCACCCCGACAGGGAATCGTGTTTACCTAGCATGGTATTCCGAACCCGCCACACCTATTCCATGCGCCAGGGGGAAATAAGAAGAGCGATGCTCCTGCATCCCATGGGACTTTGGCCCTGGCGTTGGTGCCGCATAGTTGGTGCCGCTATGCCCACCCGGCAGTCCGCGCCTGTAGCTGCCGGACCAATAGGCGCTCGATTACATACGGGCGGGATATTGGATCGGTTTGGTTTCTCCTGGTACTTATTTTATGACCAATTTTTGGAGATAAATTAGTAGGTTGGCTGCACATAGTCACCCGTTATCAGGTGTGTAGTCAAACAATAAGCCGTTTCCACGACTTGTGACGGGACCTATATCCTGCGACTCGTGGGTCTTTGTTTTGTACTATGGCCGGTTTTTCTCGGCAAGTCTCCATTCCTCAAAGCCGGGCCTGGTGTAACTACCAATAGGCAGGCCACGATAACATAGAATGCTGTGGATATGGTGCGCCGGGGAGCTTCTCCCGCCTTGCTCGACGAGGGGAGGCATGGCTCGAGAATAATAATAATTTTAATTAACGGCCAGGATTCTCACTAGTGCCTCATCCTTGCCTTGTGGCGTGTTCTGCAGTCAACTGCCGCGGCCACCACTCCCGATCCTCGGGATCTAGGAGATATTTAAATCAACACACCATGGATAATTCACGAATGTTATCCGGTCAGCCACATCGAGCTTGATGAGGGAGTAGCCACTTGAACGAATGACGAGATCTGACGAGGAAAATACAATCACGTGACTATAATGTATAGCCCTAGCCCTAAGACCCACCCGCGTGACAGCACGAGCATCAGGATTGGATAAATGAAGATTGCAAGATACTCCGATAGACACGAGGACCGAGTGCTAGCGAAAGGAATAGGCTTGATGCTGGCCACGTGTCATGTCTGTTCAAGCAACCGAGTCAGTCAGGGGATCTACACCTGTGCCACGCAGACCCTGCATGGAAGACACCCAAGATGTTCCCGACTGATTCAGGCCTGGGCGTCCTTCCCAGAGTGGTGTTTCCCCATGGAGTTTAGAGTGATAAACAAATCATCCTACAGCCATTGATGGAGTACTAACTCCGGCCATAGCAAGGCTATTGGCCCATTGGCGAAAGGATCGCCCATAGACCACGATTAATAAACCATCCTGCTGGATGCACTCTGCAAGACAGAAGGAGCTTTGGCTGATTTAGGTAGGACGCCATCATTTCATCCGGCTACTGGATCAATGGATTGCCGGGTCGGAAATGCAAGGTGTTACCGGATTGATGTCCTCATTACCTATCCCACAAGTGTCCAGAAACCGGTCACCGTCCGTACAATATCCATTTCCTTTGATTCACTGTCCGTCCAAGTACTAATGCTACAAGTCTGCGGCATGTAATACGGATCGTCCCCCACCCGCCTACCCGCGGGCTGGTCCACGCTACAAGGCCAACCGATCTTAACCCTAACGAGGAGATCAACAAGTCAAAGGATTCAGTGTGTGTCACTCCCCATGGATCGCATGAATCGCCGCCCCTTGAGCTTTGGTGTCCCCTGATCCATTCTTCCTACTTTTACCCTCTTGATATTCGCCCGATACGAAGTCCGTCCAGGATACACGCCAGTCGACCCAGCCCTGACAGAACACCTGGACCTAAGTTAGCCGGTGCTATCTGACAGCGGGGATCCACTGCCGCGCTAGATTGGGGGTGAAACCCACCATGTCTCAGTAAAAAGACGCCAAACCGACGCCAAAATAGGAGCAAACTAGGGTCAAACCACAGGAGTGGATCTGCCTAGAAATTTCACACAAATAATAACCTTGATAATCAAATGCAAGAAAATCTCAACCGGCTTGGGTGGACGGGTTAGGCGCATTTGGGAGTCTGGATCACCGACCGGAAGACCTGGTATCCTAGTTTCCACAAAAATGTCCCAATGGAGAACATGGATATCATCGACCCCCCTAGACCGGGTCGAAAGAACGGTTTCCCGCGGATGAGGTTCCGTCTGGGTCTCAACCTCATGTTCCCAATCATATGGGGAACCCCCAGGGCTGACCGGTCAGTGCAGACTCCAGACTGGTCCGTTCGAATTTTCCCCAAAGGGACCATCGAACAGGACGTTATTATGATAGTCCCGCCTAAGAGACCTTGGCACGGACCGCTCCCGCTTAGGGCATCCATGACAGCTTTCGACGTGATGGAGTCTGACAGGATTATCGTTATTCATGTCGTGAAACGACTTCCCTACCCCTCTCCACTGTGCACAGGGGTCGTCGTCCTGCCATGTGTTGTGGTCGAGGTTTGGAACGACGTTGACGGGCAGACTCCGGCGGCAGGTGTCCACCGATCCGCGGGGAGAACGTGCTGCATGGAAGTCAATCGCGTTGCTGCTCGCAATTAACCCATATCGTCGAATACCCTCCATAGTCTATACCCAATGAGGTATCCAGCTCGCCATCCACTATGCAGGACTAGACCCCCCTATCGATCCCGAGTTCGACTAGAAGCAATCATCCGCGCCGTCGATGCATAGTCGGAGGGATTAGCCTGGTCGGGATAAGGTCGAGCCAGAAACAGGAAACCGTTGTCAATCCTTTTAGCAAGGGGGGTGAGACCAGAGCCCCTCATATAGTCGTCCGTTTCTGTCCGCCGCCCTCCCTTGAAGGCTTCCCTCTTTCCTCTCTTCTTGTTCAATTCCGGTATTCTGCGTGTATATTTATACCGACATCATGGAGGACAAAGAGTTGCCCCCGACGCAGGTGGTCAGCCGGGAGTCCAACGAACCCATCATCCAGAATGATACCTTCGCCATTAAGGCCGAGGCCCTGGGCAATGACCTTCCTCCGAACTACTATCGTTCAATTGGGTTTATTGGGACTATTTTCGTATGTTCTTCGTCGACCCTGGGAGAAGCAGAGACAGACAGACTGATATGTATAGGCCTTTTGCATGAGCAACATCTCGCAATTCATCAGCTTCATCCTCCCCGCCAACATGCTCACCTTCATCGGCCAGGATATTGGACCCAGCCCCAACCTCACCTGGGTCTCCCTGGCGTACAGTCTGGGCCTGAGTGTCGGCTTCCTGCTGGTCGGTCGGCTGAGTGACATCTTCGGACGACGCTGGTTCTTCATCGGCGGCAACGCGCTGTCCTTGATCGGTGGCATCGTCGGCGCCGCCGCCAAAGACGTCGAGACCCTCATCGCGGCGGACCTGCTGATGGGTCTGGGCGGATCAGTGCAGATCTCTTTCACGGTGGCTGTATCGGAGCTGGTGCCCAACAAGTACCGCCCATCGACCATCGTTGCTATCTTCTTCTCCAGCTTCCAGATCGCCTGCTTTGGCCCCGTCATCTCGCAGTCGATCGTGTCAACGACCAGCCAGACCTGGCGCTGGGCTTACTACCTCAACATCATCTGCGCGGGTCTCGCTGTCGTGGCCTTCTTCTTCTTCTACCACCCACCGACCTTCTCCCTGCTGCACATGAACCGCTCCTTCAAGCAGCAGCTCCGCCGGCAGGATTTAGTCGGGTTCATCCTTTTCACGGGCGGCTTGCTCCTCTTCATCATGGGCCTCAGCTGGGGAGGCCTCATGTACCCGTGGGGGTCATCGCACGTCATTGCCACAATCGTTGTTGGCTTCGTCGCGCTCGTCCTCTTTGTTCTGTACGACGCCTACGTGCACCCGCGCATCCACGGCGACCCGCTGCTCCCTACTCACCTCTTCCGCAAGCCGGGCTACCTAGCCATGGTAGCGGCCGCGACGGGCGGCAGTTCTGTCTACTACAGCATGAACGTTCTGGCGCCGCAGCAGGTGGCTTACCTCTTCCCGTCGCCGTCAGTCATCCACGCGGGCTGGCTGACCTGCTCTGTGGGGTCAGGCTGCCTGCTGGGACAGATCGTCGCAGGATGGCTGTCGCAGTACGTGCACCGATCGCGGTGGATCATGATCGGGTCGTGCTCGATGCTGGTGGCTTTCGCAGCGGCGATGACCACCGTCGAGGCGGGCGAGTCCTCCAAGTGGGTGGGGCTGATGATCATGGCGATGTTCTCCGTGGGCATCATCGAAACGTGCAGTCTGTCGCTGGCGCCACTGTCGCTGCCTAGCGAGGACATTGGCGCTGCGCTCGGCGCCCTGGGCAGTATCCGGTCGGCGGGCGGGTCTGTGTCAACGGCCGTGCTGTCGACGATCCTGAACAACAAGGTGAACGCGATCGTCGCGCCGGCGGTGATGCAGGAAGCGCAGGCGCAGGGGCTGTCGGTCGCGCAGATCAAGGGTGTCGTCGAGCAGCTGGCGACCGGCATGTTCATCAGCGTGCCTGGCGTGGATATGGAGACCGCGACGCAGCTGTCGCTTGTGCGGAGCGCCAGCGCTGCCGACGCGTGGCGCTATGTCTGGTACGCGGTGATTGCCTTTGCCGGATTGGCGCTCATCCTGAGCTTCACGACCATTGACTACGGCCAGTATCTGACTGATGAGGTGACTCGCAAGATGCATGGTCGAACAGTGGGAGTCGTGGAGGGTGAGAAGCGGTCAGGCGAAAGGTCGGAAGAGAGTGTCTAAACCTGTGCGAGGGGGGTCCGGGGGCTGAATTCCTTTTTCTTTCTGTTTCTCATTAGATTGAAATGCCGTCGCGTTTCTTAACTAGTGTCGTTTCATTTCCTTTGTCGATAGTATATTGTAATTAGAGTGGTGGGGTTGTGGCAGGTCTACGGACGGAAAAGTCGGAGCAAATTGTGATCTTGAGGTGCAGACATTGGGATAGAACGGATATAGCAATTCTATGACCAGCGGTGCTTGCATCTCCATTTCTATAACACATCCGTGCTTACAACTTACTAACTCCTGTTTTACTCGCCCCCTTTCGCAAGACAGCCCGCTGGATCTTCCCACTCGCCAAGCGCGGAATCTCGCCAACAATCACGACACCCCCAACTAGCCACTTATGCTTGGCGACACGCTGACGCAGAAACCCCTCTATCTGATCCTCTCGCAGGTTGCGCCCCTCCTTCGGGAGGACATACGCACGAGGGCGCTCCTCGCCATCTCCAAAAGGTACCCCGACGACTCCCGCATCAGCGATATCGTCATGCTCCAGCAAAACGGCCTCCAGCTCCGCGGGGGCCACCTGCAAGCCATTGACCTTGATGAGCTCCTTCTTGCGATCGACGACCCAGAACCACCCGTCTTTGACGACCATGACGTCGCCGGTTTTGAGCCATCCGTCGGGGGAGATGGTTTCGCGGGTGGCGGGCTCATTGCGCCAGTAGCCGAGGCAGACATTGGGTCCCCGGATATAGACCTCGCCTGGTTCCCCGGGGGAAGTGATAATACTTCCGTCAGGAGCGACAAGCTGGCACTCGCAATTAGGGTCCAGGAGGCCCACGCTGCCTGTCTCGTCAGAGGCACCACCCGGGACGTGGATGACGCCGCAGGTGAGCTCGGTCATGCCGTAGGCTTGCACAACGCGGAGGCCGAAGCGGCGCTGGACGCTGTTTTGCAAATCGCGGGAAAGAGGGGCGGCGCCGCAGAGGATGGCCTCAATGCTGGAGAGATCGTAGCGAACGGTTTCGGGGCGTTTGTCCAGCATGATGAGGATCGGGGGCGCCACTTGCAGGTGGGTGATGCGGTAGGTTTGGATGGCGGCGAGGAAGTCCTCGAAGACGAACTGGCGCATTATGTAGACTGGAAATCCTAATTTGGGAGCTACTAGGCAAGCGAAGAGTTGCCCTGATGGTGTTAAAAATTGGAAAACATGGTAATGCGTGATAGGAGAATATACCGTATGCATGGTAGAGCGGGAGAAAGCCCAGCCATCGCTCTTCAGGTCGAGAAGCCGATGGGGAGGTGGAACTGGTAAAAGACGTCCCCTGGTCACGCATGAAAATGTTCTGCTCGACGTTGGCGATGAGGTTGGCGTGTGAGATACACACTCCCTTGGGGAGGCCGGTCGTGCCAGACGAGTAATTGACCGTCGCGACAGTTGTTTTCGCCCTGTCTCCCATCTGATCCCAGTGCCACGAGGCGCCCTCTTCCTCCGTGCCTACCATCTCGCGCCAGTCATGCACGCCGTCGATCGGAGTCGACGGGGGATCATCAGAGAAGAGAAACATACGGTTGGGGGAGACCCCCGCGCGCTGTCCCGCTGCGAGCGCGGTGTGCACTAGCGATGGATGCACGAGAACAAGGCTGGCTGTCGTGTTCCGCATCTGGTACTCGACCTCTGACTCGGTGTAAATAGGGTTGGCCCCACTAAAGATGCGTCCCGCGCCGACGATGCCCTGATACGCGATGGGAACGTATATATGATTAGGTGTCAGAATCATGACGACCGCACCGCGTGGCACTCCCAAACGGTCCAGTCCATAGCCCAGCCGGCGCACCCACGAGTGTATCTGCCGGGGCGAGAGCGAGTGAGCTGGGTTCCCCGCATCGATCCAGATGGGTTTGTCAGAGATCGGTTGGTTAGGGGGAAAGAGGTAGGACAGCACGTTGGTCTGGGGAATGTCCAGCGGGGGGTACACCGATTGCAATGCCATCTTGACGGCTCTGGGAGGTTGCAAGGTGTTGTCTTTTTTGACGGGGTGATGAGATGTGAAATCATGCAGCCTCATGCAGCCCCATGCGGGGTTCGGATCATAACACACGAACCCTGGCTTTACCTCGGCCTATTCCCTGGTTCCGCAGGTATATCTTCTCGCTTTCCCTCTTCTTGTCTCATCTTTTTTACTTCGCCCAGTCACTGAACCATGTCAGAATTACAGAACCCAAACACCTACTTTGATCTGGCCGACAAGGTGGCCGTTGTTACGGGCGGTTCGTATCTCCTCTCCACCAGATGATTATAGCTAACCATCATAGGATCCCGGGGCCTGGGACTGCACGCAGCCACTGTCTTTCTTCGGGCGGGCGCAAAGACCGTCTTTGTCACCGCACGCAAGGCAGAGGGGGTCAATGCCGCTGTTGACCAACTCAACAAGCTCCCTGGCATTAAAGGCAAGGCGATCGGCATTGCTGCGAATGTAGCGGATACCAAGGAAATCCAGCGCCTCGTGGACGACGTCCAGGCCCACGAACCGCAGGTGGATATTCTTGTCGCAAACGCCGGCGCGTCCTGGGGCGGACCCTTCGAGCCGACCCCCGACCGGGCCACGGAGAAAGTGCTCGACCTCAACGTCAAAGGTGTCTTCAACCTCGCTCGGCTGTTTACCCCCCTGCTTGCCCAGGCCGGCACACCAGCATCGCCCTCGCGCATCATCGTCGTCAGCTCTACCGCCGGCAGCACCGTCCCCCACGTCGGCGAGCATGGCACCATCATGTATTCAGTGTCCAAGGCTGCGGCGCAGCATCTGACGCGCAATCTAGCCGTCGAGCTGGGCCCGCGCAACATCACGGTCAACAGCATTTCCCCGGGGTTCTTCCCCTCCAAGCTTGCCAACGGGCTGATTGACATCCTTGGTGGGGAGGAGGAGCTCAAGGAGCAGAATCCCCGTCGCCGACTGGGCGTGCCGGATGATATTGCAGCTACCATGCTGTTTTTGGCAAGCCCGGGAGCCAACTATATCAATGGGGTGGATATTCCTTGCGATGGTGGGAGAAGATTGGTGCATGTGAAATTGTAAAAATTCGGCGATTGTGCACCCTGAGCTGTTGTTCCTTTCAGTCGTTCAAGTTCTGTGGATAGAAAATATCTTACCCCCTTAAGCAGCCAGGGGCAGTAAATCCGAAACAAAACGAGACAATATGTAAAAAAATAAGCGAATGATAGGACTTGAATGAAAAAAAAAACGAAGAAGAGTCTGGAATGAGAGAACAACAGTATGGGGGCCAAGAAGAGTATCAATGAAACACCAGATGTGCATGTCCCGAGACAAGAAGGATCCACACGGTTCTCTGCTGGTACGTGTACCATCGCTGACCTGTGGACAGAGGAAACCACAAACTCGAAGCTCGCGCCTTTCCCAGAAATTTGCATCCCAACTAACTATTGTAGGGTTTATCTACTCTGTTGGTGGTTCTTGCATCCGGGCATGTTGATCCCAGTATGATCAGAGCTAACTCTTCTATATATCGGACCAATACAAAATGAGGATACCAACGGGAAGAATCCATGTCTTTCTGGGCTGGAGGAATTTTCTTCTCCTTGGATGACTCGACAAGGCACCAAGCAGATCATCTCCTCGCTAGCTTGGCTGTTGACAACACAGCGTCCGGGTGCGGTAAGCTACCTTGGGTGTTGAACCGAAGTACCCCGTGCAGGGAATCCTCTACAAGACTGCGTTGGCTGTGTGGCTAGCTCAAGAGAATGACTGACGTCGCTTGTAGTTGGAAATCAACGCGACGGACTCAAGCGGATTGTTGATCAGACTGATGATTGATGATCACAATGTTCTGGATCAGTGTCGGATGGCATGAGGATGCAGTCACAAAGTATCCACACGCCGCAGACGCGTGCCATGATGTCCGGGTGTGATGGCATCAGGCAGCAGTGTCAGTTATGCTTGCACCCTTGATTTGCTGCAACACCCTTTCTTTTTTCTTTTTTCTTCTTTTCTTTCGATTTTGCTCTACTGCATTGTGATGGCATCTCAATGATGGGAGCTGGTCTATTGATGTCCTGCTAGTCAATGACCAGTCTTTTGACTTGACGAGGCATGGGTATATAGTATTAATTCCAAGTGAGCATTATTATACAAAGCATATTAATTTTCTTCTAGAGCGGCCAAATCCCTGGCACATCTTATGAAAAACTTATAAACTCTTGTTTTGTATAGACTAATAGCGTGGCCCTGCACTCAATGTCATATACTGCAGTCAAATCTAGAAATTATCATTTTGTCAATTTACCTCCCCCTGAGTCTCCGCTGGCTATGGCCCTTCTTCCACCAATATTGAAACCTAGGACTTTCGTTGAGGTTATCAGTCAGATTGAGCCCTCCCATAATGCTGTTCAATAGGTTGGTTTAGTATTTGGTAACTTTGACACACAATGAAAATTCCTGGAAGACTTCATTGGCCGCTTCACCGGTCGATGACTCAATTGCCATTCTGGAACCACCACGGGTATGTGTGTTTAAGGTCGTTCTTCTTCTTGCGCTGGGTGTCGGCGATGGGAGAGCCGTTGGCCCGTTGCCACATTGTCATGAACTAACCACGGGATAAATTCGCAATGCCCCAAACCGAAATCGTACAAGATACTACATGAGCACACGGTCGGTCGTTTATGTAGGAGGTACCCCAGCCTCTGGAAAACAACACTGGCTCGACACATCTCCACGAATACTACTGCCGACAAAAAAACACTGGCGGTGATATTTATTACACTGATAAGGCGACTTACAAAGCCCCAAAGTGTCGTACATCTTTTTTAATCTGGCGGTAATTCCCATCTCTTATTGCAACATGCTATCAAGGGGGATTTGCCGAATAATTCTGTCTTTTGGGAAGAAAATTGGCAAAAAGTCTCAAAGGCAAGGCGATTGCTAATCTGGAGGACGCTGTAATTTACCGGTGAAAAACGATCGTTTTATCCAGGTTTCCATGCAGACAGAGCCTCGGAGAAATCGGAGGAGCCTTGGGACCACACTACGCACCCCCGCTTGGTGTGGAAAGGCCAGTTCGAGCTACATATCACGACAAGCTTCATCGTTCCCCACGCAGTCTCTCCGGGCTTTTTACGCAGATTTCCAGCGAGTGGTCGGGAGATGGACGTGGAGATATCGCATTCAGATCACCCATGTTAGTCAGGGTATTAAGCTATTGCTGATTTCGGATGGATTTGATGCCCACTGCGAGAGGTTTGTGTGTGCTAGAATTTACACGCCATGGATTCACAACGGGTGGCTGCGAGATTGGTTAATCATTGACTGCCGCAGTTCCATGCCACAGCCCAATGGTAAGTCACCCTTGCAGAACATTGTGGCCTGCCTAGATTGAGTTGCTAAGTTGAGGATAGACGTGGTGGATGCCAAACTCTGGAGAGCCCTGTTTCAGGGAGACTTTTCATCGGTGGAAGTGCTCGATGCACTGAACAAGGTGGTTATTTCACGCTTCCCTCTCATGTCGCAGCTGTCCGGGGATGAATGTTCTGCATCCAGTTGCCCTTGATTTGCCATGCCTTGTTCCGAACCTCTATAGTTTAATGCTCAATAGCAATGATATTACCACAAACTTCGCCATGCGGATCAATAGATGGTAGGATTGAATTTTTTCACCTCACACCGGCTCCTTCGCGACCAATATATAGATCACTGAGACCCGCAAGTCTGGCACGTTCGATAAATGTGAGACTTCCAGACACGACAGACCGTGCGCGACAATAAGCGGGATCTACCATAAGAGTACGACATATCATGCCCGTGTCTGCGACGCCCATATATATAGATAGGCATGTCACGGGGTACAGCAAGGGATGGATGCCTGATTTGGGAAGCGTCAATCAGGCCGACCAAAGAACAGATCAACCGACACCACGTGGATCAAACCGACGTCGTCTCTGGTCTTGAACTTGTCCCAAAGCCAAAAAAGTGGCTTTCTTCGTGGAATCCAGCCGAGATTTACCTAAACATCGATGTTTTGGTGCTACTTCTTTCATCGCCTTCGTCCGACCACAACAACAATCGCCGAAAACCGGACTTTGCGATACGGTGAGTGAGGAGGGTCGATCGGACTCTTTGCAGAACCGTCCGCGCCCTTTCACTAGGATAGCACTCCCACTAGGGAGGTTGCTCAATGACAACAAGTCAATCCGTCCCTCTACGAAGATGAGATTTATATAACTGCAAAACTAAACAGTGCAGACTACCTATTCCGGTCTCCATAGGCTGTGAAATGAAAGATCGGCGCGATTGACATCATTAGCGGCATCTCCCTGTTTTGGCTATTTCATTCTCTCCGATTTTTCGTTTGCACGTCTAGAGCCTGTCCGACGGTGTCGGGAAAAGCACAAAGATGCCCGACAAAAAAATACGTTTACAGATCGCCCGAATTGAACGCGAGCGGTGTCGGCGTCGAGGACCCGGTGGGCACTGGACAGCGACATCCGTCGGTGATCGGCATGGGCTATACTGTTTTGCTATACGCCGATCCCAACCCGAGTGCACTGGATGGGTTGGTGTCTGTGGCCGGGTGCATCATGCGAGGTACACACTTCCAATTTCCTGCAGGATGTTGATTATAGATCGGGATGCCCATGCAGAATCCCACGCGACATTTTCTTCGGGGGCCTGGTAGTTGGTTGGACCCAGTCCTTTCATCCGTTGCCGTTCCAATTTCCCTGTGATGCCCCCACTGCCCAATGGAGACGCGGGAGGAGTTGGAATCGCGTGGGATTTCTTTTTCTTTTTCTTTTTCTGTGGATAGTGTGGATGGGACGAGGTTGATGGAGGCATCCAGACACCAATGAGCGCGCTTCCTCCGAATAGCCATGTGTCATGATGGTCCCCGCCATCGAAATTTGCTGTCTCAGCAGAGTTATCTGATCCGAATAGTTCAAACTTAAACCCGGCCCATGCCGTGGTCGAGGAAGTCATTGGCCCGACGATTTTATACCGCAAAGATCGTCGTCGTGAAGCGCGCCTTGCGCCGACGTTGAGTAGAGCCGGTATTGGTCTTACCGACAAGCCCCCCCTCCTCACGTTCCAACTGTTGGTTACTGAAAACCTTACCCCCCCCCAATCATTCTACCATGCCGGAGTCTTATTCCGGTAGACGCACTCCAGCACTGGTGATTCGACCGAATACAGGGATAGAAACCGCACGCGTTCCGGCCACCCCACCAACTGGCCAACAGCTCCCCGACCATGGGCATCGCGAATCTGGTGCGAGGGCGCAGCGACTTTCGCCTGGCGGAGTATACCTCCGGGATCGACTTCCGCCGCGCCCATTACGAGGTCAACGTTTCCGCGACCAAGGACAGCGAGTCCATCGACAGTGGTCAACCGCAGAAACGACAGCATGTAAACCCAGGGGCGGTGATGGGGGTCCAGAAGGCAGAGGCTGCTGCGATGGCCTGGTCTAAGCAGACGGCCTACATGACTTACGCACTGTCAGGCAAGCATCGCTAAATCCCAACGGCACCTCGCTAACTCCTGTCCCACAGAATCTGGGTCTCGTTTTTTATTTTGGCTCTGCAGTCCGCCATCAGCAGCAACGTAATACACAGCGCCTACGCCTCGTTCAAAGACGCCCCGTCGGTTGGAACCGCCAATATTCTGTCGAATGTGATTAGCGGGGTCCTGAAACTTCCGATAGGTCGCTTGCTGAGTATATGGGGCCGAACGGAAGGGTTTTTGTTCTTCATCGTTGTCTACGTCGTGGGCCTTATTATCCTCGCGGCATGCAACAGCCCCGCCTCGTACAGCGTGGGCTACGTCCTGTACTGGGTTGGGTACGATGCACTGTACTTGATTCTGGATGTTTTTATCGCCGATACTAGTGGAATGAGAAACCGAGCCTTTGCGTTCGGATTCGCCAGTACACCGTTTATCTGTACGGCGTTCACCGGTCCGTTGGCGGCCCAATCCTTCGTTGAGACAGCCTCCTGGCGTTGGGCCTATGGGACATTTGCTGTCGTTGCGCCGGCCGTGATGTTGCCCCTGGCTGCCCACTTTCGCTTCTACCAAAAGAAGGCCCAACGGATGACACTTTACTGCCCACAGCCGAGTGGCCGCACGCCTGTCCAGTCGCTTATACATTATGCCCGTGAATTTGATAGTATGTGGCTCAGTCATGCCATGCCCTTTTTTTTCGGATAGCACTAACAGTCGCTGTTCACATTTTGCAGTTATTGGGGCTTTCTTTCTGATGGCGGCCTTTGTTCTTCTCCTTCTCCCGTTCAGCCTTGCTAGTGTCGGACACACTGCATACAAGAGCGGAACCTTCATCGGGATGCTCGCCGCCAGTGTTATTGCGTTTAGCTTATTTGGGGTGTGGGAACGGTACTACGCTCCCTCCAACTTTATCCAGTGGTCTTTGTTTAACAACCGATCTGTTGTGGGGGCCTGCGTCTCGACATGCGCCCTATTCTTCAGTTACTACTGCTGGGAACTGTACTTCTACAATTTTTGCATGGTCGTGTATGGCCTGTCAATTAGCATGACAGGGTATGTTGGGCAGATCTACAATGTTGGGTCTTGCTTTTGGTCGGCGGTCTTTGGAGTTCTGGTCTATTTGACGAGACAGTTCAAGTATACCTGTCTAGGGTTTGGTCTACCGTTGGTGTTGTTGGGAGCTGGGTTGATGATCCACTTCCGTAGCAATGAGAGTGGCGGGATCGGATATATCGTGATGTGCCAGGTTTTCATCGCGATTGGTGGAGGCACGTTGGTGATCGGTAAGGATAATGCCCCTTCTGCGAAAACCGCTGGTTACTGACGACACGAATAGGGCAAGACATGGCGGTCATGGCCGCGGCTGACCGGGAATATATTCCTATGATGCTATCGCTCATTGGGCTGTTCTCGTCACTTGGCGCGGCGATTGGGTCGGCTGTTTCTTCGGGAATCTACACGAACACATTCCCTGCTTCCCTACGCGAGGCGCTTCCGGCCGCGCACAAGGACGAGTACTTGACGATCTACAAAGGGGGGTACACTAAACAGCTGCAATATCCCGTAGGCTCGGATATACGTGCTGCCATCAGTCACGCGTATGGTGTGTACATGACCTGGGGATGTGTGGCAGCGGTTGCCATTATGGGCTTGGCCATCCCGGCCGTTGCCTGCTGGCGCAATTTCCGGGTGGACAACGATCCCGACAACGACCAAAGTAAAGGGAATGTGATATGATGATCACCAGCAGAATTTTAACACATATGACATGATAATATTTGGTAAATGAATTGGTTTCCGAGGTATCACTCTCCATAGGCTTCCTGCGTCTGTCGGACGTCTTCGGGCTACGACGCTCTATTCCACAGTCGATGCTTTGCTCCGTACCAGACACCTGGGATTCAGTGCATGATTGACCGCATCTCAGTGCGCGCTTTTTTCCGGTCCCACGCACTCACCGCAACGTCATCTAGCAGATTTTGCAAAAGCATGGGTGGGGACGTGCTCCGCTTCGGTCATTCAGGCGCGTGGTTTGGTGCCGAGAAACCAAAATGGGGACACTAGCGACACCGTATTTACTAGCGTCTAGTGAATCTGACCTCATGGAGTAGCGATCGCCTGATGATAAGATTGATAAAGCGATGTCGGGAGGTGGGGGCACCCCTAGGGTAGGGACGTCACTTGCCTAGCCTTTCTGTCACCTGTCTGTCATGAAAATCACGGGCTTGGTGTGACGTTGAATGCCAGAGTGTCGTGTATAGCGTCAGCTTGACAACCTGCCTGTTATGTCCGAGCTTCTAAGGCATAGGCGGCATTCTCGTCGCGGGAATCACTCTTGGCACGGGGAGACGCTGAGCGCTGCATTCCACTTTGGTCCCCAACCTCCCAAGTTGGATAAGAGAGAGGAGCAGCACCTTCGTCCACGCTCTGAAGAGCTAGTGTACGACGTTGCGGTGCACGATACGATCAAAGAGGGCAGCCTCGGGGCCCTGGTGGATCATCTCACAGACCCCGAAAGGAGCGAGCCGACGTTTAGCGATGTATTCTTTCTGACCTACAGCACCTTCACGACGGCATTGGAGCTCTTCACCATTTTAGTTGAACGCGTCAGGGAGACGCAGTTCGATGGACGATCCCAGGAAGTCATGCGGACGCGCACCATCGCGGCCCTGACGAACTGGTTTGAACGATACTGGGGCGAGTCCAATAGCCCAGAGACTACTCAAAAGCTTCGTCGCATGCATGGGCAGGTTCAACAATGCTCGGAGATTATGGACAATGCGGCCTCGTCCCGGCTGCTGGCCGCCATGGAACAGCGACTGACCGGTCAAATGCCCACTCGACGGCTCGTGACGCCGCCGTCCAACACGCAACCCCCGTCTCCGATCACGCCCAAGAGTATGAAGAAAATAAAGCTGGGAGAAATTGATCCCACGGAGATGGCACGTCAGTTGACGATTTTGGAGTCGCAGCTGTACAGTCGAATACGACACGTGGACTGGCTGAACAAGGCGTGGACCACGGAGGCCCACACAGGGATCAATGCCATGATTCTACATTCGAACCAGCTAGCCAACTGGGTAGTGGAGGCCATCCTGGGACAGTGTGACATGAAACGACGAGTGGGCATGATGAAATATTTCGTTCAAGTAGCGGAGGTAGGCACTACCGTCTCAGCACACGCGACTCGAACCAAGCTGACCAGAGAAGAAATGCCGTGAGTTGAACAACTACGCCACACTAATGTCCATCATCTCCGGCC